TTTTAATCAAACACCAAAATTATTTTCCTACATCTTATGAAAGTTTCCAATATCATATATACCGTTACAAATAAACTATTAAGTATGATTATTTTAAATAAAAGTAATAAAATATATCTTAATACCTGTCACGGGCTCCGGTACGGGCAGTATAGGCGATCGTATGACAGTCTATTCTCTACGGTTCTGGCAGGGTTACAGGTAACTCTATTGATAGGACATAGCTCGAAGAGCTACAATTCATGTTCAGGCAGGAACAGTGAAGATATCGTCAGTTTTCAGGTCCATATTGGTCCACCCGGGCTGCCGACAGCTGGCGCACGAGGTCCCTCCACTTCCTGCCCATAGGCAGGGTCCAGCGCCGTGACAGTACTCCCCTCTTCAGGCGGAGCTCCGACGACGCGCCTAGCAGGTTCACAGGCTTCCAATTTATCCTCATAGCAGAGGTCCAGGTCCGGGCTTGTTCGGGTACCGGCAATAGAAATTGTTAATAACCTCCTTTGCATTCTTGAGCCAGGCAGCAGGGGACTTTGTGAGCTCGTCATATCCTTCCCATTTAACAGTATACTTCAGGTTAGGCCTTCCTCCACGTCCTTGGCGATCCCAGCAAGAATCAAGTATCTCTTCTATAGTCCATTCTTATAGGCCGTTTACTTTGACGGGGGGCGGCAGTTCTTGCTGTTATCCAGGCTGGGGGTCGGCGGAATCAGGTCGCAACAGGTTTACATGGAAGACAGGATGTATTCTCATGGACGCAGGCAGCTCCAGGCAGTAGGCGTACGGGCTAATAACCTTAGTTATTTCCCACGGGCCCAGGTTCTTCCAGTCCAGCTTCTTTTGGGGGCGGGCAGTCTTGATGTTCCTTGTGTCTAGCCAGACCTTCTGACCGATATAGAATCTGCGGGCAGGTCGGCGTTTCCGGTTGGCATACTCCTCGTGGCGGGCTTGTGCAATGCAGATCTCAGACTTCAGGTACTCGTGTACAGTGGCCATCTTTAGGGCAACCCCCTCGGCATCCTTGGCGGCAACGCGGCGTCCGGGTAGGGCAGGTTCGAATCCGAAACAGGGGTGATATCCATAATTCGCGAAAAAGGGCGTGATTTTTAGGCTCTTGTTCAGTGCGTTGTTGATTGCGAATTTGGCTAACGGTAGCCAGCGTACCCAGTCGTCTTGAAGGTATGATATATGGCCACGCAGGTACTGTTTCAGGAAGGAATTGGCAATCTCGGTCTGCTCATCGGTCTCGGGGTGGTAGGCGGTCGACAGCAGTGCGGTGATTCCCAGGAGTTTGGTCAGGTGCTTCCAGAAATCGGATACGAACTGGGGTCCTCGGTCGGATACGATGGTTCTGGGCAGGCCGTGCAGTTTCCAGACATACTTAACATATAGGCGGGCGACTTCTTCAGAATTGCAGGTTCCCTTATAGTGGATAAAGTGCTTCATCTTGGTCAGGTGGTCAACGACTACCAGGATCGCATTGTAGCCGTAGCTGTCGGGCAGGTGCGTAATGAAGTCCATTGAAATATCTTGCCAGGCTCTCTGGGGAATCGGGAGGGGTCTCAGGACTCCTTGACAGGCTTCTCTCGAGGCTGTAGTCCTCTTACAGGTATGGCAATTGCGAACCCATCGTTCGACATAAGACAACATACCAGGCCAGTAGTATTCTCGGGACAGTATTTCGTACGTACGGGCTCGACCCATGTGGCCGGCGACAGGGCTAGCGTGGTACAGGCGTAAGAGCTCAGCGTGCAGCCTTTCGTTTACAGGGACATACAAGTATTCACAGTAATATAAGTGTTCTCCGGACAGTTCGCACTCAGCCAGTGATATCTTGCGGTGGCAAGACTCCTTCTTCTTCAGGGCTCGGATGATCGACTTTAGTTCTTTGTCTGTGGCGTATCCTTGGTTGAAAAGGTCCTGGATCTAGGGAGGTAGCAGCGGTGCAGTTCTCTCAACGGGCAGTGCAGGCCGTGGTGGTTCCAAATCGGGCTGTGGTCGGTGGTCTAGAGCTCCAGGTCCACGGAGCTGGCTGCGAGTGATCGGGTACAGCTTCAGGATCGGGTCTGCGAATTGTACTTGCTTGGCGGGGCGGGCTGGTCCCGGCACGGGTTCTGGGGCAGCAGGCACTGATTCAGGAACCTCAGGAGTCTGTGCTGGAGTTGGCGGCAACTCAATGGGCTGGTCTTCCGGTTTCCTATCTATAGGTAAGAAATCGTCAAGGTTGGCTCTTTTCAGCACTACCTGACTCTGGTGCAACAGGCGTTTATCCCTCTCTTTAGGCAGGTCCTCTGACCTCCTGGTCAGAGCATCCGGCTTCGCTCCTTACTTTCCGGGGCGGTAGACAATCTTAAAATTAAAACGGGACAGGAATTCAGACCATCTGGCTTAGCGGCGGTTTAGTAACTTCGTCGTCGTGAAATACTCTAGGTTCCAGTGATCGGTAATAACCTTAATCAGGGAACTTGTCCCCTCCAGCTCGGGTCTCCATTCTTCGAAGCAGCGGATAATCGCCAGCAATTCCTTGTCGTAAATTTTGTAATTATACTCTGTCATTGAGTGTTTTTTCGAAAAGAAAGCTACTGGCCTCAGGATTCCATTGTCCCCATACTGGGACAACACTCTGGCGGACACGTAATCAGACGCGTCAGTCTCTATAATGATCTCTTTTTCCCAATCAAATGGGGCCAGGACAGGCGCTGTGGTAAAAGCGTGCTTCAGATGGTCAAAGGCAGTCTGGCAGGCCGGGTTCCAGTGGAAACGCATCCCTTTTCTTGTCAGAGCTACCATCGGGGCGATGATCTTCGAGAAATCCTTCACGAAGCGTCGGTAAAAGTTGCTGAATCTGATAAACGCTTGGACGTCTGTCAGGCAGGACAGGGATTGCCAGTTCTGAATGGTCTCGATCTTCTTCGGGTCCATGCGAATCCCATTTTTCCTGACAATTACACCCAAAAAGGTGGTCTTATCCTTAAAGAATTTGCACTTCTGGATCTTGGCGTATAGGCCGGCCTGTCTCAGGGACTCTAATACCTGGTGGACGTGTTTCAGGTGCTCTTCTCGGGTACGGCTGTAGATCAGGATATCGTCCAGATAGGCAGTGCAAAATACATCCAGGTACTCTCGCAAGGTATTGTTCATGAACCTTTAGAAGGTTGCGGGGGCCCCAGTCAGTCCAAAGGGCATCACCAGGGGCTCGTACAGGCCAAAGCGGGTACAGAACGCGGTCAGATACTCTTGTCCTTTCTTTATGCGGATTTTGTTGAAAGCAGACACGATATCAATCTTCATGAAGTACTTTATTCCCTTCAGGTTGTTCAGAGATTCCTTGGTTAAGGGCAGCGGATATTGGTCCTTAACAGAGATATTATTCAGTCCTCGGTAGTCAACGCAGAAACGGAGGCTTCTATCAGCCTTTTTAACAAATAGGACCGGGGAGGCGGCAGGCGACGAGCTGAGACGGACAAACCCCTTGCGCAGATTCTCTTCCAGCCATTCTTTCAGTGCGAACAGCTCGTTGCGGGACATAGGGTACAGTGGTCCAAATGGGGGCGTCTTGCCATCCTGCAGGCGGATATCGTGATCATAATCCCGGTGCAGGGGGAGTCTTTCGGCTTCCTTGGGTGAAAAGACGTCGGCATAATCCTCCAGTTCCTCGGGCAGTAGGTCTCGGGGCTCCGGCGGGCTGGCATTCTGCAGGTACCGGTTGATATCATTGATCATGATAGTAAAGAGCTGGTAGTTCCTTTGGCTGTACATCATACAGGCTCTCAACGATACTCAGGCAATATCCAAATGCTGCAGCTCAGGCGGTCGGGGAGGCAAGTTGTGCGGTCGGGCCTTGGCAGGGACGTCATGCAATGCTCGGATCTTCGTCGGGTGGGCGGGAGTATTACAGTGTTTCCGGCAGTATTCACTGTCAAAAGTGAAGGTATGGCTCGCAAATCTAATCTTTGGGTCGTGCTTCTTTAGCTAGGGCATTCCTAGAATAACGGGGTAATGGGCCAGTTGGGTCACGAAGAGTTTGATCTTTTCGCAATGGTCTTCAGTTCTCAGTCGGGTCTCGATATAGTGGGTGATCATTCCACTCTCGGCGTCTCTTTCATCGAACACTTCTAATCCGAATGGTTTCTTTAATTTCTTCAGGGGTAGCTCGTGGCTTGCGGCCCAGCTCTGGTCTACGAAGCCTTTTCCTTCGGCTCCGGTATCGGTCATGGCGTAAGTCGGGAGCGTCTTGCTTCCCAACTCCAGGGTAACAGGTAGAATCATCAAATGGGACCTCTGATCCGTTTCTTCTTGGACAGAGACTCCCTTGGCGGCGGCAGCAGATAGTCGGACGCTGGCAGCGGTTTTTAGGCGGCGCTCCTTCTTGGGAGCCTGGGTGCGACTTAACCCAGACTCACTCTATTTGTTGAGCTCGACGGGCTGCGAGGCGGACTGACAGATTGGACAGAATCAGGGCTATTAGAACGGTAGACATAGCTGGCACGGAATTGACGAAGTTGGGACAAGGGGCGAGTATCAGGTTCGGGGCAGGCAGCGACGCGATGATCCTTAGAACCGCAACGGAAGCATTCTCCGCGCTCTTTCCTTCCACTGGGGGCGAATCTTTTCTGGGAGCTCAAGTCCGAGGGCTCTCTTCCGTTGGCGACGAGCAAAGCAGGTCGGGGCGCTCTCCATTCTCTCTTGGGCTGGTCCGGGCTCGTGGCAGCGGGTTGGCAGGGGACAACAGCGGCAGCATAACTGGCAGGGGTTTTGGCAGAAGTGACGACACGGTTCCGGGAGACTTGCTGTTGGTATTGGCGGAAGCGGTTATCCAGGGCTTATAGGTGATTGGCGTAGTCTCTGTATCTCCAGGACGGGGTCAGGCTGTGTAGGAGCATATCCTGAAGTTCGTGAGATATGCCTTGGAACAATAATGGGGTCAGGGCGTCCTCGGGCATCTCTCCTTCCAGGACCAGGCGTTGAAATTCAGAGAAGAAGGTGCTGAAGTCCTGGTTTCTCTACTTCAACTGGTATAGCTTATTCTGGGTATTCTGAATACGGTCGGGGTCTCCAAAGGCGTTCTCCAGGTAGGCAAGCATTTCCGGGTAATCAAGGAAGTCAGGAACTCCGTAGCGGGTCTTCGGCAGGATCAATTCGTAGGCTTTTCTTGTCAGACGTCCGGCAACATAGGTCAGCCAGGCAGTAACGGTCAAGAATCGGTCAGCGTTGGTGGTCATCTTGCCATAGATCTATTGCGTGAACCGGCGAAGGTCGCTTCAAGAGCCATCGAATTCTTTTGGGTCAGGGATCTTTTCATTGAGATAAGAAGATCTGGAACGGACAGGAGAAGCAAGCGCAGTCGATCCCGGTACAGAATCTGCAGGCTGCTCAGCCGGGGGACTTGGGGTAGCAGCAGGGACGGGTCATGGAGTCTGTATAGCAGGCGTGGCGGCGTCGAGCAGGCGGAGTTTCTCAACCTCCAGATGGGTAATTTTTTTTTAGAGAAGGGCAGTATCTTCTTGGTGCTGTTGCTTTTGGTATTCAATAATTCCCTCTTGTTTGGCAATAGTCGATCAGAAGGACTGGAGGGAGTTATCGTGGTCAGATTCGGTGAGGCAGAAGAAATCGTTCTCTTCTTTCAAGGCGGCAGCGTAGCCATTGATATGGCGCAAGTATAACAGCCAGTCAGACGGGTTGTTGGTAACGTGGGCAACGAGCTCTTTTGGAGAGTCCGCTCCCGAAGGCGGTTCAGGCCGCTCCTTGGACATTCTCGCGGTAGATACGGCGCTTATAGGGTAGGAGCTACGTAATGTCACGGGCTCCGGTATGGGCAGTATAGGCGATCGTATGACAGTCTATTCTCTACGGTTCTGGTAGGGTTATAAATAACTCTATTGATAGGACGTAGCTCAAAGAGCTACAATTTAGGTTCGGGCGGGAACAGTGAAGATATCGTCAGTTCTCAAGTCCACATTGGTCCACCCGGGCCGCCGACAGCTGGCGCCCGGGGTCCCTCCACTTCCTGCCCATAGGCAGGGTCCAGCGCCGTGACAATACCCGTTTTACTCTTTATATTAAAAACAACGATATAATATAAAGTAAATTGATAAATTTCGTTATAAACGTCTTTAAATCTATAATTAAAGTAAAATTAACACATTTGCTCTTTAGAAGCTTATTAAAAAAAGCTTTTTTTATCTATAAAATGTTTATAACTCTTATATTCAAAAAGCGTTTATCTCTTAGTTTAATAATAAGTTTAAAGATAAGGTTAGTTTTAACCACGTTAATAACTTATTTTAAAAAATTCGCGTTTATATTCTCTTAAAAACTTAAGCTTTAGAAAATCCTTCTTATTAAAGCGAACTTACTTCTTTACAACCTTTATTTGTACGTTATACTCTTTTTTCTAATCGCGCTATCATAACAGGCTAACTCGTTCAAAGTAATCGGTACATACTAATTGAAGTGTAAAGATTAAGATTAAGTCTTTTATATTAATTTTTTTTTAAACCATTAAGTTTTTTTATAACTCTATTGATTAATCATAATATTATTATCAGGTAGTTTAAAACCCAGGACAAAAGTGCTTATTAATATCTCCAATCATATAAAATACTTTATTAAGGAGAGAAAAAATCTTTATCACCAGCTAAATTTAATAAGGTGATAAAGCTTAAATCCCGACCTATAATTATCTATTTATTTATATAATAAAGCAACGCGTCCACCTTATGAAACTATTTAATGAATATTAGATTTATTTTAGTTAGTAATATTACTAATTATTTAAAATATTTATATGTTAAATATAATTAAAAGATTAAATAATTATTCGATTTCAGCTTTTTTCAACTATTTTTTAATAAATAACCGTAATTCAATATATCACCCATAAGATACCTCCCGTAAGATACCTCGTTATATAAACCAATTTTTTCAAAGCTTTTATAATTAACTTACCGGTAATTTTACAGCTTTAATAACCTTTTAAATTTATAAAATATACTAGCTTAAACAAAGAGACGGCGAGCGTGCTGCCTATTTCAGCATGTTCTGCCTCCAAGTCCGGCAGTGCATTTGCCAGTGATCCGACGCCGCTTTAAGCTGCATACCCCACCATACCCCACCATGCCCATGGGCCTTTGTACTTCGATGTATCGTTCAGAGTACTCATGTCCCCAAACACGACCCAAATCCTGGACTCTTATTCAGTTCGGTGTCTGGCACTGATGCTGTGTCCTTTTCCTTCCCTTGCTTGCTCGGCCTGTCAGCAGCATAACTAGAGATGGCTCCTATTGTCACAGAATAGCAATTGACCACCAGACCAATTGGCTAAGCTCCCCACAAAAGGATGTGGAATATTCTGGATAGCAACTGAATATTCTATGGTGGTAGATATACCTGACATTCCACGGGCTCCAGGGCTCTGTCTCATTCGGACATACTTGTACCGTATTAGAACGTCACACCTATATTCCTTTTAAATACCAGCTCTCTCGCTTCAGTTGGTCAACAATGTTTTTGCGTTTTCTCTTCCTCTTTACCTCTACTTGAGGAAGCACAATGCCTTCTAATGAACTGCACTTATTATGATCGAGTATCCCTTACAGCATTACTAGCATGACCCGCCAACGCATCCACGATGACCCATATGACTCACGAGTCATCGACGACCTATACGACACAGACGCATCTTTCTCCGCAGTAGGGGATGCGGATGCTGACGACTTCCTTGACGTGTACGAGGATGTATCCAGCCCAGAGAGCGACGTGATGGATGTAGAGGACTTCAGTGATGACGATTCCAATGTTGCAGATCAAGTCTACCTCTTCGCAGGGAATGTTCATCTGCTGGAGTACTACCAGAAGGCGCTACGAGAGTTCAAGGAGAGTGCTTTTAATGTCGGAGATTACAGTCCTGGAAGCACTATACAACTTAACTCAATCAAGAAGCAGTGGCGGACGTAAGTCATTCTAGTGCTTTATGTCTTCTCATGCTAACGATGTTTTTCTGGCAGGTTCTGTACCGACGTTGTGGGACGGGATCCCCAGACTTGCCTCGAGTCTATTGATATCCGTCTCCTCTATAACTTTTTTGATTGGTCCTTGAACCAAATAGTTAGTAAGAATGGAAAGAAAAAAAGGGGAATGAAGAAGAGCAGTTTACTAGGCACAAATTGGAAGGTCTTTCGTCTTGTGTATGAGATGGCCATGGGTGCAAAGCTTGATCCAAAATTGAATCGCAATATGTATAAGGTAAGTAGGAATTTGATGACCTACCAAAGACCTATTTCTAATATTTTCTTTCAGGTCTTGAGATTACTGGCAAAGAAACACAAACTGAGCGACCAAAAGAGGGACAACCGCTGTATGACCATTAACGACCTCAAAGCGGAGATTGAGACGACACTGAGCACAACGAGGAAGTTGTTTGACCTCGGGGAGCTCCGGATTCTTACTTTTTTATTTCTTCTTTTCCTGGCTCCTGCCAGCTCGCGCCCGAAATCCATCTTGCGGCTCCGATTTGGAGATATTTGGGTCGTATTAGCGAGAGATCCTGACGGCAGGCCACACAAGCTTTTGATCAAATTTATTCTCGAGTTTATTAAGACATACCTTGGGACAAAAGATGCGTAAGTGTTTTATCCTAGCAACTTTAGGCTCCTTTATATTGATATTACGGGTGCTTTAGTAAGACCTTTACGATTCCTGAAACCATGTTTGATCCATCTTTACTTCTCAGCCCTCATGTCTTCCTCCTTAGCATCTTGTTTCAACATCAAGCTTTCCGGGCTCCTAGCCTTGTCTCTCCGGGCCATCTAGACGATCTTGATATCTACCCCGGCGAGAAGGAGTTGCCTTTGCCACTCAGAGACGACCTCAAAGACGTATGTATATTCCGCCAAGTCATTACAACCGCTACCGGGCTGCAGATATCGCAGACGGAACCCATCACCTACGGCATGATGTCAGGGTAGATTAAGAGGATTAGAGAGATTCTAGGCCTTCAATACCCAACTATCGCATATTCATTGCGCTATAATGCAGGCAATGAATTGGACCAGAGCCATACGTTCTACCTGTACTTCCAAGGAATTTGTTGTGCTGACGTTCCAATACAGCCGACGTTAGTGAAGCACTCTGTAACCTGACGCTAGACCACACCAACTCGACCCCTTTCCAAAAGCATTACCTCAGTCACGCTGTTTGCGCAGACCTGTGGGAAATCCTTTGCGGCCAGAAGCCGCAACAAGCACTATTAAAACAATCCTGCAGTGTCGGTCATTCAATGAGCCAGCGGCGGCCAGTCGATCTTACTCCTAAGCAAGCGGTGTATGTTAACACAGATCCCAATGTGACGCGGCTTACAAGACAACTCAAGAACCTACGACTAGGGACGAAACAGCAGATCGATGCACAACGGGAACTTCGAAATCTAAAGCAGAGGCTGAAGAGGTTGCTCCTCAAAAAGATCCGAGAAGACTGGACAGACGAGCAGGCAATAGATGACATCGAACACCAATTGCAGGGCGTCGCATTCACCAAGCCCGTACCGGCGGACATAACCTATTGTCCGCAACTTCCAGCGCAGAAACGACTAGTCAAGGCCCTGACTGCGCCTGTCGACCCTACTCTCGAAGGCCAATATCGACGAAGGGACGATGCTATCAATGTCATCATTACTTATTGTAGCGTTGAGGAAGGACGAACTTCACGTCGCAAATTCACCTCACCGACCAAGGAAGCACAATCCAAACCCACGCATGGGCCCCCAGAAGATAACCCCCTGTCTATTGCTAGGCTGTCTGTATTTGTCCGCAATGACAGAGAAAGACCTAAGAGATGCTTTCTATGCATTGGAGCCGCGCTTTCTCTAGAGCCTGATGATCCTCGTGCGGAAGCTCTCATGTATGAATTCTACACCCCCAGAGATCTTACGAAGCACTTTAAGCGGAAACATTTATCCCTTTTGGCACAAGATTCGAAACCAGAATATAAAGTCTGCGACTTCACATTGTCTTCTAAGATGCATCTACAAAACCATGCCTTGCGGGTTCACGGCACCGTGTCATAGGGCCTTTCTGTGTATCCAAGTGTAGCAAAGTTAGGAAATAGGCAACGGGGACATAGAGATGATAAAGGGTCTTGGAAACAGCGGATAATAACTCGAATTTACCGAAGTGCGTTTTATTAGATGTAGTCGTACTGAACGATTTTGTAAATATATTATAATATGTATATGTGAGGTTCTGTTACGGTCGCACAGTGGGTTGCTGTGCGGAGTAATGCATATAGTACAGAAATAGGTGTCAATGACCATTCGGGTTATTGTTGAAGCTTTTGCCTTATAGCGCAACGGTTGTCTTATAACATCTCCCACCCCCCTGCGGACCACCCCCCCGCAGACCAGCGCGCTCTGACCCACAAACGCGTAATTCACCAACCACCAGGATTATGGTGATCCACCATCTACACCATCACTTTTGCATCTTTTTTTTCACAAAGCACACTATTTGAATTCTTATCCACTACTGAATCTCATGATGTCATTTTACGACTGTCAAATAAAAGCTGAAGCCGCCATTTTGGCCATCCAACGCGGAGCTCCAGTCCGCTCGTCAGCCCTCGAATGGCAAATCAGTCGCTCGTACGTCAACCGACGAATCTCTGGCACCCCAACGCGGAATGAGACCAGCGCTCTCCAACAGGCTCTCTCACCGTATCTCGAACATAAGCTGGCAAGCTGGGCCCTGGGGCAAGCACGGCTAGGGTATTCTCTGGCGGTCTCTAAGTTCCGTCTCATGGCCTAGCGGATGCTCCATGCCACCGGGGATGCTCCAGAATTAGGGAAAAATTGGGCATCCAAGTTCCTGTCTCAAAACCCGGAAGTCAAGATAATGAAGTCTCGTGTTATCGATTACAACCGAGTGAATAGTGCTACAGCGGCAAATATCAACATTTTTTTCGATCGGTGTGACGCCCTTGACGTGGCTAACCTCATGCCAGCACGCTGGTACAACGTCGACGAAATGGGAATCGCCCAGGGGGTTGGGGACTCCCATTGGGTGGTCTCCGAGGCCTCCGGCAACGTGGCTATGAAGAAAGGGGTCGAGAAGGGTGAACGGATAACTGCCCTAGAGTGTGTGAGCGGATCTGGTGAGACCTTGCCGCTGCTGGTGATTCTCAAAAGGATTAATGTACAAGCCCAGTAATTTAGCAACCAAAATGAGGGCAAATTCACCAACTAGAGGTTTATTACGTCGCCCAATGGATGGACCTCGAATCCCATTGCGTTAGAATGGCTTCAATGTATCTTTATTCCTCATATTCGGGAGGTCCACGGCAACATATGGGTGGTTTTGGTGTGTGATGGCCACGACTCTCATACGAATGACGAGTTCTTAGCCACCTGCTTAAGAAACAAAGTATGGTTGATCTTTTATGAACCTCATTGCTCCCATGTAGTCCAGGTGTTAGATGTGGGAGTCTTCAATTTAGTGAAGAAAAGGTTGAAGTCCTTACTCCAGGAGACGCCCAGCGGCTGTCTGGGACTCAGGCCATCTAAGGAGGAGGTTTTGGAGTGCTACGAGCAGGCCCGGAAGGACACAATGACGCTCCTCAACATCAAAATTGCCTGGAAAAAGACTGGGATTGTTCCTCGCAACAGAGCGGAGGCATTGAAGTCGAAATATGTGATTCTGGAGGATAAGGGGGTGGCCAGGGCACGCAAGAGGGACCCTAAGGCTTCCGAGCGAGCCACAACACCAGATTTTCTCAAGATGGTAGCTAAAACCATTGTCACAACACCCTCTGGAAGCCGGGCTTTGCGGGAGAGTGCTCGAAAGCTCGAAAGAAAGGACCCTTCCTTTTGGGGGCCCTCTGAGCGCTTGTTGGTGCGGAAGGCTGGCAAGGCCATGGATGTTCAGGCTGCTACCATTACAAATCTACGGGCCAAATGTGAGCTGCTTGAGGCTCAAGTGGCTAAAAAGGCTAATACCACTCGAAAAGCAGTCAAACCAACACCAGGGGAACGATTCGTCACAATGGCTAACATAAGGGAGGCCAAAATGGAGCTGAGGAACAGGAGGGTCTATAAGGACTCCGCTGCAGGCGAAGAGGTCCCATAAGAGGTCCCTGGTGAAGATTTAGGGTCGGAATCGGATTCTGGGAGCTGTATTATGGTTAGGACACCACGACCTTAGTGTATTTAGCAACTGTGGTGGTTGTAGATGGCTTCATCTGAATGAGAGTGGTGTGGTGTGGAGTGGTCCGTGGGGGGGTGGTCCGCAGGTGGGGGTGAGATGTTACGCGTTGTAATAAGTTCTTTGTTAATCTTGTGTTTTCTATCTGTATGCTGATGGCTCGATCCACCTGACCTGCCTCGTCCCACCATTGCCTACCTGATCAAGGCGCCTGCTCAATCTAGACACCATATGCCTGTCCAGACACCGCCTGCTTAACTCAGACACCGCCTGCTTAACTCAGACACCGCCTGCTTAGATCGGACACCGCCTTTGAATCAGGTGGGTAAGGAGTAGCTAAATCTAGTAGGCGGTAAGCAAAACAGGTAGGCGGTGAATGGGCTGGGCAAGCGGTAAGTAAGAAGGCAGGCAGTGAGAAGAACAGGCAGGCGGTGAGTGGAATGGGTAGGCAGTGAGTGGAATGAGTAGGCGGTAGGAGAAAAGACCAGGCGGTGAGCTATAGGTAGGGATGGTGCGGGGTTTTGGTGGTTTAGGGTCCACGCTTCCTTCATCTGGTACATGCAGAAACTTGCGTTTGCGTGCCATTATCCTCTCGCGTATCGCCACTCTCGCGCATGCCATTGCCCGTCTCGTGACTTCGAGAGTCCTTGGCTAGATAAGACCTAGTAGGTATATCTTTCCTTCTTCAATCTATTCGATACTGTCAGGTACGACTCCTTACATGCCTTCATCACATTCATGGGGGTTTGTATTGGTCTAGGAAACCACTTCGCCGAATAGAGATCTGTCTCTATTATAGGGGCCTGGGAACTCTGGCCCGAGCACGGGGTATGATGGATAAGAAGACAGACGTCCGGCCGTGGCTCGTCGCCGCGGCAGACAAGGGCGTTAGGTTAGGGCTTTGTATATGTTGATGTGATGGTGCCGGCGAGCTCATTGTGTTGTTTGTTTATAATCATGAGAGCTTGGGAGTCTATCATAGCGTGTTGGGGTCAATACATAACATGGCACTTTTTATGTTATCCTGGTAACGCTCTAGTTGGCAGAGAATTTCAATCAATATACCCAATGGCTCATTCGAATCGCACTTGATAAATGTCGTTTTTGGAGCGGCGTCTAGATGTGCTTTAGGAAAGATGGTAAAAATAGTAAAGAGATGTGGTAACAGGCGCAATTACACCTGGTGGTCGATGAACTGATGTTCTGTAACCCTGGGACAGACTTTCGTGTATAATTCTGTCCACTTGCAGAAGTCTCCAAATTTCTTCGGGTGCATTATCAGCCATTTCCAACAGGCTCTCCCTTCTGGTTCGGGTTCTCTGTTGTGTCCGCGGTTTCTTCGTGGCCACCTAGACCGTTTCGTAAGGGCTCTGTTGCAGAAAGCAAAGTGGGCTCGCGTTTTGATTCTCCCGCAAGAGCAGTTGTAGTGTTCCTCGTGCTTAAACCTCCTATGGTACAATGCGTGGACAAAAGTCTCCGCCCGATCCCCAATTTTACCCCCTCCATCTACTATACCCTCTAACTCAATTGAACCATAACACATCCAATTCTGGTGATAGAATTCTCAAATAAATTGTATTTAATAACTAAGTCAATAATGTGTATACCAACCACCGGCGCGCCTCACTGCAGCTATTCGGTCCTCCAGTGACTCCATCAAGGCTCAAACCTGCTCTGGATCGATCTCTGACCACGCCTGCTCAATTAACTTGTGTGTGTAGCGATAATGGGGGATATTATCCTTCAATTCAGAAAATTCAGGCTCGATTTCACATATGTTCTTTTTTAGAAGTCGCCAAACGTGTTTGATTGGGTTCATATCGGGGCTGTGAGGAGGCCAGTCGATACAGTGGATGCCGTGCTCCTCTATCCACTCCGGAACACCGCCAGTGAGGTGAATTTTTGCGTTATCTTGAACAAAAAGATCTCTAGCCTCGTAAAACGAAAACAGGCCTTCTTTAAGAACCCATTTATATGACTCTGCGGATACTCCTCCGGCAGAGCATCCGGATCGAGTGGGCAGAAGACCAACTTGCCTAGTCCTCCTTCTCCGCCGCGTAGCCAGATCATAGACCACACCATTATCAAAATACGAGATTTGCCGTGATCCTTCTCGTTCACAAGATCATAACGGTACCGCTCTGAAGAGAATCGGATGGCCCAATCGCCTGGATTATCAGATGAGTTTTGGACCATACATTCGTCTAAGAACATAGTTCGCAACAATTCCTCCAGGCGCTCTGGTGTGCTGTAATAATTGGCAAAAGCGAGCCTCTTCTGAGCGTATTTATCTGTGAGCTTGATTCGCTTCGCTGCGCGCCACTTCTAGAGGCCGTGTGCGTGATATATCCTCTTGATAGTCTTGAGAGAGCACAAAACGCAGACTTTGTTTTGGATCTTCTGCCACGTCGCCTTGGGGAGCTCTCTCGCCTTTTCGATCACATGAGCGCGTTCGCGAGTATTCAAAACGGGTGGGCGACCGCTCCTTGGAGCAGATTTTGGTGTAAAAGTGGCCTCAAAGTTGGTGGTAATATCAGAGATGGTTTTCAGGCGCTTTGTTTTAAATGCGGTTGCAACATCCCTACGCGTTCTGCCGTCGATTTGCGCCGCCACGATTGCTGAGCGAGCTTCTGAAGTGAATTTGCCGTTAGCGATGCGATTACCGCTTAATTTGTCCCTAAAAGATCGTAAATCCATTATCAATTGCGGTGTTGAGAGAGTGGTGAAGTCGAAGGGTGATTGATGCGTTGTTTTGATCTGAAGGAGATTGTGGTGGGTCGGGCGGAGACTTTTGTCCACCCAGTTTATCCCAATTGATGACTGTGGCGGGAAAAGTACATGGCATAGGAGCTATTTGGGTGCGACTTGTACCGACTGGGGTGTACCTGATCCCCTAAGCGGCATTAAGCTTAGTGGGTGGGGAACACCGTCAGGTTATGCAGTGACACCGTCAGAATAGACATTCCGCGCAGCTCCATTCCAGCTCCCGTAGTAGCATTGCTCCCACGCCACGCACTGTATTAGCCACGTCGGCAGCGCACCAGCTACGTTACCGCAACTACTGCACCATTGCAGCTACGTACCCTGGAAGCCCTGGGTTCGAACCCCAGGCAAAGCGACTTTTACTTTTTTTACTTTTTTTTTCAATTCAAGGAGCACCTTTAAAGCCCCGGTTTCAAATCCGGGGCAAAGCAAACTTTTCGGTTTTTTTTTTAAATAATTCGTCAAATAATTCGTTAAATAATGCGTTAAATAACGCGTTAAATAATGCGGTAGATAATTTGTGAAATAATTCGTGAAATATTTTGTGAAATACTTCGTTAAATGGTTCGTTACATAATTCGTTACATAATTCGTTGAATTATTTATCAAATAATTTTTTATATAACTTATTATATAATTGTTGAAAAATGGTTTTAATACGTTATCAAATACGTCGTTAAATAATTTATTAACTAATTTATTAAGTAATTCTTTTCATAATTCTTGGAATAATTCGTTAAATAAGTCATTAAATAAGTGGTTAAACAAGTAGTTAAATAATATTTAAAATTATTTTCAAAATAAATCATGAAATGATTACAAGTTTAATATTTAAAATAACAAAATTTTGAAGATGTTAAATGTCGTTTCAAAATAAATTAAATTTAAATTTAAATCGGAGCTTCGCTTCGATTTCCCGGATATAAAAAAGAAAGCTTTAAATGAGTCCACGATATTGTAAAGTTTTCTTTTTTTATCGCCCGCGATATGGATGGTTCTAATTAGAAACTAGTTTATACCATATATTTTAATGTTTTATTTCTTTTTTATAAAAAAATTATTGTTTTTAATTAAATAATATTATATTTTAAACTTATTCAAAACATTACGTATTTTTATTTATTTAATATATTACTCGTAATAACTTTCTTTTATAATTAATATTACTTTATTATTATAATATATATATATATATATAAATATATTTATGTAACCTAAACTTTAACCTTAACCCCACGTCGAGCGTAATGTTATTAAGTATAGTATAACATAAGGCGCGCGATGTATTAAAGAGTTGGTATTAAAGCTATCTGCTGCATACGGCTAGGTTAAGGCGAACCGTGGGATTAGGCACTAACTACATTACACCGTGAAAATAATGTTTCCGATTCACTCCGTCTGTGGTACTTTCCCTCATCTGCCGTGTTTATACGGCAACTGGTACGGACTGATCGCAGCTGCACCTGCAAAGCCTCGCGAGTGTAGCCTAAAACAGGCTGTCCTTGATGATTTTCGACGCGTGCTCCGCCATCCCGTACACGGTTGCCTGTGGGTTGGCACGTGGCATCAAAGGTATCACGCTGGCATCGCACACACGGAGGTTCCTAGTTCCGTACACACGCAGCAGCGGGTCGACCACGCCGCCCATTTCGCGTGGGAGCATAGAGCAGGACCCAGTGACGTGTTGCGCGGCGACGGCCTTGTCCCTGAGATATCTAACAGCAGTAACATCATCAGCACCCGGCACTTTTCGGACCGTGCATCGAAGAAGGGGGATGGGGTTGTCTTGGGAAGTGGGAGCCTTACTTCTTGGCTACCTCGATATCCTTGAAAGCGCCAGCCTCAGGAACCCCAACTGTCCTTTTGCCATTTGGCTTCAACCACTTCGCCAGAGGTTCCGCGACCGCCAGGCCCTGCTCGATGAACTGGAGGTGGCGAGCCATGACCTCGAGGTCGAGCGGGTGGCTGAAGTAGCCTGGGTCGATGGCCAACGTCTGCTCGGCCGCGGCGCCGACGAGATGCACAGAGCCTCGCGAGAGCGGATGCGCGAGCATGAGGACGACCGTGATGTAGCTATCCTCGGAGCCATCCATGGGTGGTAGCGCGTTGGTTCCGTCCGGGTTGAATGCGGCGTATGCTGGCCCGAAGATGTAGTACCCTGATGCCTCAGACCGGGACGAGAGGATGGTCCGGACGAACCTTTCGTGCGCCACACCGAAGGCTCCGCCGGGACTCGGCCCGGTCGTCGTCCTGAAGAGGCGCTCAAGTTCCTGTCTTCCCTCGGGCGTATCTAGGCCCGGTAGCGGTAGTTGTGCGGCCGACGTCACGCCGCTGCTTGCGAACGGGCCCGTGCGATGCTCCATGTACTCCTTCATCGGCCCTCCCAGGACTTCCCCGTCCTGCCGCAGGGCGGCGCGCAGGAAGGCGTCCTTGGTGGGCGGCGCGGTGTTGGTCACCTCGAATGACAAGGTGACGAGGGGATGGTTCTGGAGGTTCTCGCCGACACCCGGGGCGTCGACGACGACGTTATCCACGCCGAGCCGTCGCGCGTCACCGATGCCGGAAAGCTCTGCGTGTACGTTAGAATCTCGTCTTTGGACCCGTACGGCCAGGTTGAAGAAGGAAAGAGAACAGCAAAGCTTGTTCTCGAAAGCGACGCTCAGCGTCTTGGTATGGGATATTTTTATACGTACCGAGAAGCTTGGGGGAGCCAAAGGCTCCGGCCGCGACGATAACCTCGCGGTGAGCGATGACTGTCGTGGTTGCGCCGGTCGTGGGATCCGTAATTTCGACGCCTGTGGCGACGGCCGCCCCGCCAGGCTGACCACCTTCAGGTTTCTTGAGGATCACCTTCTTGACCTCGACGCCCGTGCGCAACGTCAGGTTGGCGCGGCCGCGGACATCTGGCGTCAGGTAGGCGTTGGCCGCAAAGCTTCTGATGCCCAGCGCCGGGTCGACGGTATCCGGGATCATCAACCCGCCGGCGGCCTGGGCGGTCAGCGTATCCTGGGTGCCCGGGAACCCAAACGACTCAATGGTATCCGCCCAGACCTTGGGCCAGCTACCCATGTAGTCATCAGCAAACGCTACCTGTACAGGTCCCTGGTTGTCGCTCGGCTTTGTCACGAGGGATGGGGCTTTGGCCACGGTATAGGTCTTAGCCAAGGACTGCGAGAAGGCAGGCCACTCCCAGCCGGGGTTGCCCAACTCGGCCCACCCATCGACGACTGTTTTGGCGCTGGCGGTAAAGTTGAGTCCGTTCATGCCGCTCGACCCGCCCAGCATCTTGCCCTGGGGAAAGCTCATCTCTCGGCCTCCTAGGTTTGCCTTTTCAGCCTCGAGTATCAGTATGCTAGTCTTTGTACAGTTACCAGGATATGTCGAGAGGCGGGTGTCCTTACCTGAGCGACAGTGCTGTGGTTCCAGTCGACGGGTGTTTTGTAAAGTTGGCTATACGCGGGCGGAGTCAAGACGGCTTGCATCAACTGCTCTGGCATCTGTGGTAGATCCAGCCCGGCCTCGAGCACGAGGACCTGGAGAGAGGGGTCTTCGGAAAGCCGCGAGGCTACCACGAGGCCGGCTGTCCCGCCGCCCACGATGACGACGTCAAAGGCACTGGTCTCTGCGGCCATCTCGTCTGCGTTGTGGGGGGATATCGGGTCGTTCAGGATTCAGACTGTAGGATCGTGGTTGAGTTTTGGTCAGGCTCTTGATGTCTTGCTGTTTCTCCTATGACTTCTCTCTCCTGCGTCTTTCCGCAACCAGGAGCTTTTTATGCGTGGGACACCTGCGATAGGCTGTCAGTACAGCACACCACACTGGGAGGAAAGCCGTCTGCAACGTCACTTCTAAGGCAGCCGCGGACCTACGGAAGGTAGCCTAGGATCATCTCCAACGCGTCTAATAACGAGCATACATAGCTTGATCTGATAAAGATACCCCTTTATTTCTTAGTGGAGGTCCAGGGATGGATGTGAAGAGTCGGCTTCCGCGACGACCCGGGAGTCTGCTCAGCCTACCCCTGGGGTCCATAGCACATGTATGCAGGCTACAGCCGGGCATTAGCAGGTAGCGTTACCTTGAGCGGTACCTAGGTACCTATGTTGCGCGAAGTAGATACCTGAGTACTACTACCTAGGTAGATACGAAGGGCAGGAGCCTCCCAAGTACTCAGAAGAGCACCAATGAGGTCTCGCATCAGCTTCATTTCCAAGGGGAAGCGACCAAGACTCCGATGTGGTATTGCATTGATTATTCTGGCACACCGGCATGAGTGCGGATGCATGGATGCCGTTGGTGACCTCTGATACAGGGGTGAGGGCATTGAGGAGCAATGTCGGGCTGATCTTAGCAGAGTATGGCCAGATCGAACAGGCGGGGCACACCCCTACTTGGCGATGATGACAATGCTGTCCCTCTTCAAGGATCAAGTAGGCGATAGGGGAGTGGCGTAGGGGGTTACAATTCCCACTCTGTCCTGGAGCTATTCCCCTGCACAGACTTGCGCATTTTGACGTATTGCTACTCGCAGGAATTGGATGCGGTGCAGAGAACAGTCCCGGCAGATCTTCCTAGGAGGGGGTATTCTCCAGGCCGGCAACCCCCTCCGTCCGCCTATTGATGATAATGGTCATTCGTTCCTTATGATCATCACACCAGAGCCGAGGGCAATGAGGCTCTGAAGACATCTTACCTGATAGGTTCCGTACGTATCGTTCGACGGTTGCCTTTTCCCACCTTCACTGTGCCCTGACAGTCTTTGATGTTTCGACTTTCTCCCCCAGGCCTTTCATGAGTGTACTCGTTGACGACTTCGGGCAGCACCGCAACCACGACCATGGACATCCTCTCACCCCGGCATCTCCTGTTCCTTGTCGCAGGTGGGAGTTTGGGGTTCGCGGCGCATCTCGGCGTCTTCATCCGCGGGGAGTGGCACGTCCAGGCGCCGCAGCTCTTCATCGGCCACGCCTGTGTCATCCTCTGTGTGCCCCTGTGCTGGTCGTTCTTGCCGGACTCCGACAGCGCGGGACTAGGCCCCCTGGTGGACGGGCTCATGTGGGCGAGCCTTGCCTATCTGACGGGTCTTTTTGCCAGTATCTTCATCTACCGTGTCTCGGGCTTCCACCGCCTCACTGTTGCGGGCTTTCCCGGCCCCTTTGGCGCGCGGGTCAGCAAGCTGTGGCATGTCTGGGCGTGTCGATACTCCAAGAACCACGAGTTGCTGGACCGGTTGCACCAAGAGTACGGCGACTTTGTGAGAACTGGTGAGTCCTCAACTCGTAGTGCCCCAGCTCCCCTACGTGGGAAATAGGGCACATGTTGGCATTGATGTTGGTCTCCAGACCAGACTACGTACTTACCACCGACGATCGATTGAACAGGTCCCAGCGAGATCACCGTCTACCGTCCCGAGGTTTTCATGGCCATTGACGGGCCTCATACGGAATGCACGAAATCGGAAGTGAGCCAGACCCCACCACTCCGAAGAACCATTCCTACATACATACCAAACAACAAGAATATTGAGCTTTTGCTAACTCTACCTGCGACGCAAGTGGTATGATGTTCTGCACCCTAACGTGGCTCTCAGTACCACTCGTGACAAGGCAACCCACGCGGTTCGACGCCGGCAGTGGAACCGAGGGTTTTCCAGCAAAGGTTTGTCCTCGACTCCCATTCGCCCCGTCCCATCCACCATACTTATACTTGGGTGGCCAAGTTGCGTAACTGTATGTATATATCTAACCTGCCGCCAGCACTCCAGCTGCACGAGGCCAAAATCCTGCGGCACGTCGACCAGCTCGATCGGTGCATTGAGAATGACGCAGACGAGGGCCGGCCCTCGGACGCCAAGAACCTCATGTACTGGTTCGGTTTCGATGCCATGGGCGACTTCGTCTTCAACCATCCCTTTGGAATGCTTCAGGCCAAGACCTGGCACCACATCATGATGCGGTCGTATCGCGCGGTCGAGCTGCTAGGACCATTTGGCCCGGCTCCTTGGCTCGTCCACATAGGCTTCCAGCTCCTCCCCCGCCTGAGCAAGTTGCGTGACTGGCACGAAATGACCTCATGGTGCCGCCAGACCATGGAGCAGCGGCTCAAGGACGTGGCTCTTCAAAAGGAGCTGGACATGACCCATTACCTCATGATGCCTGAGAACTCAGAACAGTGCGGCACCGCCGATGTTGACGAGGAGGCTCGTTTGGCTGCCATAGAGCATAACCGCTTCTGGCTTCACGGCGACAGCCTCCTGATCATAGTTGCGGGAAGGTACGTACTGGCCTCGACAACAATTCTTGCACTTCTACAATTCCTCAAACACCATCTACCCTACAACCTACTCTCCATTCCAATTCCATCTCCCCCGCGAAAGAGAGTAACCCATCCCATCCGTCTCACTAGCACAGCGCCTCTTGAGACCCAGGGTTCAGATCGATTCGCCTTCCGTTTTCCAGCTGATTCTGATACTCTGCTTTGTTCACTAGCGGACCCATTGCCACTGCCTTGACCTTCCTGCTCGGCGAGCTGGCCCAGAATCCAAAGCAGATCGACAAGCTATATGAAGAGCTCCGGGGCGTGGACCCGAGCGACTTCGAGGCTCTGTACAGGTTGCCTCATCTAGACGCCTGCCTCACCGAGACCCTGCGGCTGTGGCCCGGGCTCCTTACGGGTGGCGCGCGCAAGACTGGCAGGAACGGTCTCTGGATCGCGGGCCGCTTCATACCCCCTGAGACGACCATCGTGGCGCCGCAGTACGTTATCTCGAGACGTAAGTGTGACCCCTCACTTATTCTACACGCGGCCTCCCGTAGGAGATACAGACGTACGTATGTTTACGTATGTATATTAATGTATGCAACATCAACAGGAGAAGACTGCTTCGTCCGCGCCCGCGAATTCATACCCGAGAGGTGGACATCCTCGCCGGAGCTGGTCCTCAACGCGGGTGCCTCGGCGCCCTTTGGCACCGGCGGCGGGAGCTGCGTGGGCCGCATCCTGGCCACCAACATCATTAAGTGCACGGCGGCGCGTCTGGTCCGCAAGTACAGCTTCACCCTCGCGCCGGGGGACCACGGCCACGGCGTGGGCAGCGAGGTGCGTGACACTTTCATGCCGCGGCCTGGTGACCTTAGCATGTGCTTTAGACTGCGGTAAGGAGATGGAGGACGAGGAGGCAGGCGCGGTTCGAGGTTTCGGGTACCTACCTGTAGCTAGGACGGAGATTTCTAAATTGACCACATTCTCCGCGACCAATGGAGGATCCTGTTGGAGGGCGTACTAGCCACAGTGGCTTTCAGGGAGGTGGCAGCGCCCCTACAGGGCACTAACGGAAGATTAGAGCGCTGTAGCACACACAGAGATTTCTTCAGACTACAACACCATACAGAATGCCATCAAGATCACCACTTTTCGCTCAACAACACCTTATGATATCCGTATGCTAGCTGTATGACAGATCCAGCTGTGACTGACCTACTGACGGCTGTGTGGGCTTCAATGATTCACATGCAGTAACTTACGCCATTTAATGGACTTGGCATGCTGACGAACACATGATCATTAGGTGTTGCATCTCCTGTGTGCAGGGATGACATTCCACATTGCATAACCGCCTATTTAAGTCTCCTCAGTTGCAGCAACCGTGTTACTATAATATACAACAGAACCTGAGACTAGACGCGGCACAGTCTGCCGTCTGACTGGCTCGCCCATCTTTCACTTCCCACAGCTGTGAGCCCATAAAGCAGGTCCTTGGGATCATACTTGTCCTTGATTGCCAGGAGGGTATTGTAATTGTCACCGTAGAAGACTTGCTGGAAGTCAGGTTGGCGAAAGTCGCCCTCGTTCACGTAGGCACCGCCGCCAGGGGTGATGGCCTCGAGTGCGGGCACAAGGTCGTTCGTCATTTTCTCCTGGATTGGGATGTTGGCCGAGATATTGTACTGGTCGAGCGCTCTGGCCAACGTTAGTAACATGCGACTCAAAAGTGTGCCTTTCAGTGAACAGCAAGGCACAATTCGCCTGGGAGAAAGGTCCAGTGGGGTAGGGGTCACAGAGAGCAAAAGCACTTACGAGCCTATGACAAAACTGTAGATGGACGTGCGCCATACGGGATTCACCGAGTTGGCCACATCGAGTGGGTACGAGCTCACGTTGACCGAGATTCCTGAGACACCAGAACCGTCGGCCACGATGTATTGGAGCGTTGCCATTAGCGCGGTCAAGTTGGTCTCCACAAGTGAGCGTGGGATGAGCCGTCCGCCAATGTTGTATTCAGTGACATTATTGGTGGGCTCGACAGCGTCGTAAACATCAAGATAGGAGGCGAAGTTGTCGACGAAGAAATCTTGAGTTCACAAGATGATTAACGGAGCCGAACAAACGAAGGCGCAGGGGGAGAGGGTGGGGTGGGGTGGATAATAGGGGAACTCGGGGAGGCAGGGACGGCTCACCAAAGTACATGCCACTTGTGTTGAGAGCTGCCAGGGTCGGGTCGAAAAGAGAATGCAGAGCAGCGGCGCTCAGATTGGCGGCTATGATTGGGGATACGACGAATATCCCCTCCTGCAGAGCGAAAGACGTGTAGACGCCAAGGTTGGCAAAGAGGGGCGCCGACTCGATGAAGGTCTGCACAACCCCCCAGAAGACGTCGTCTGCGACTTCACTGCCCTGCACGATAGTCAGGTTGGCGCCAGCGAACCTCATGTCCGGATGAGCCCGAATAGTGACAGACACCACAGCCGCGTAGGTGCCGCCGCCGCCGCCCGAAAGGGCCCAGTAGAGGTCTTCGTAGACGGTCCCGGGCCGCGCAACGACGTGAGCCCCTTCCGCGGTAACGACCTCCCACTCGAGGACGTTGTCGGCGGAGAGCCCGAAGGAGGATGCGAGGGGCCCGTGGCCGCCGCCCTGCGTGTACCCGCCTGCGATGCCCACGGTGCCGCAGGCGCCGCCTACGACAAGGAGCCCGGCCGCCGACGCGGCCTGGGTGGCCTCGTGTATCTCAACCCCGGCGCCTAGGTGCAAAGCCTTGCCCGTGTAGTACGACGACGTATAGTCGACCACGTCCACGTCCTTCAGGTGGTGCGTCCAGAGGGCAAGCGCCCCGGGCCCGGTGGACTTGCCGAAGTAGTCATGCCCCGTATTGCGAATCACGAGGCGAAGGTTGCGTGTCGCAGCGAACTTCAGGGTCTCCCGATAGTCGGCGATGCTCTCAGCGCGGGAGGAGCTGCTGGCATTGACGGCATAGGCGACTAGCGCCCCAACGACGCATGGATCTGACGGGGCGGTGAAGGGGTTGCAACTGCCGTTGGTGAAGAACTGCGCCATGGGCGACGACGAGGAACCGTCGTGCGTCTGTGGGTAGTCCCACACGTCGCGCAAGGCTGCACACGCCGCTGCGTCGTAGTTGGTGAAGTTGTCATAGTGGCACACCGAGGCGATTGGCACGGTTGCGACCAGACGCCCGCCTACTGTCGTATTGAACGCCGCCCATTCTGCCGCCGTGGGCCAACATACGTCCTCTGGAAAGCAGTGGCAGGTGATGGTGCTCGTGTTGGCTGTCAGCGCAGACGCTGACGCAGCCCCCGCGGCCGCGATCGTCATCAGAAGAGACCACAGAGTGCGGGACGCCATGATCGGGGATGGGTGTTACGCACGAGGAAAGGAAAAGAGGTGTGCGAAGGTCTTACAACGGAAACGACTGCAACCTAATATGGTTCCACGGTGCCCCGGTCAGAGCAACATCTTATTCCCATCCAGTCCAGTGGCGGCGGGCTCGATATTGCGACTCAGGGGTCAGGCGGTAGAATTCCGCCCGTTCTTCGATGCGACCTCAAAGAGCCAGTAGGATCCCCCGGTAGGACTATGTGTGGCTCACCCGCGAACCAACTGCATATTTGGGGGCGTGCCAACGGCGCGGTCAGCTGAGTCGAGATATGCCTGGGCTTTTGACCACCCATCCGTTCCTTGGGGCTACACAGTATATCTGCACACCCTTCTTCTCCTTGCTAATTTGATTTGGTAGCATTGCTGAAACCTAGAGCAGGCTCTGTCCATCGTGGCAGTTACTGCCGGTCTCTTCCACATTTCCCCGTGGGTATGGCCGAGCTTGGTGGGAGTGTACATGCCGCCGCACACCGTCGTAAGACCACCGGTGATCCGATGTAAGACTCAGGTGTGGCCTGAATCCTTTCATCATGATGCGCTTTCAGGCTAGTACCGAATGAAGTAAACCGGAACAAGTAGAATAGCTTCGCAGAGCAGTGAGTCGCTTGAAGTCCGTACGAAGATGAGACCACTGAGGATTCTCACGTATGCGTAGCAAGGAGGCAACTCATGTATTTTTCAGCAGTTCCTTTACTGTGTCTCACATGTTCCTTTGATTGAGATATGCATAACCTGACAACTGCGCAACGCACGGCGCTGACAAGAAAAACCAGAAACCATCATGGTCATCAAAGGGTGATGGTGAATGTTTATGACTGGCTGCTCCATCTCGCTCCCATTTCGCGAGAAACCTACTGCTGCTCCCCAGAGAGATTCTCATTTCCCAACCAATCCCCAAATTCGAAGTGATGATCGAGTGATACCGAGTGCAAGAATTGTATTTAATGAAACCAGTTTGACTTTTACTAAGCAGCCTGCAACTCTCTCTTCCGTCAACGAAATCTCTCCTGTCATGATATACTACCCACATCTGATATCCGAGCTCGACAGCGGACCGCAGAACTGTAAGCCATTGCCCCCTTTGAAGCTAGAACCAGATGGTCGATCATATGAGGCTCGCGGGAGCGAGGTAGTACAGTCCAACTCCCCACAAGCACCACAGCTTCCACGTATTGGAGTCCGCCTTGGGTGTTCTTTTCACCAGAACCCGAAAGGTAACAAGAGCACCAATGAGGACCGGCGGAAGGACCAAGATCCAGTGGCCATGCGGCCACCAGACGTAGGCGCAAACGCCCGTCCAAAAAGGAACCAGCAGCGCAAGTGAAACACGGCTGGTCCAGTCCCCAAAGGCCAGCGGCACAGTCCACCGATCCTTGAGTCTGTCGCCCGCCTGGTCTTTCAGGTCTTGCACCTGCATCGTGGTCAGAATCACTATGCTGATGAGACCAATCCAGGCGCATCCAGCCGGACTCAGCTGTAGAGGCGGCGCAGGACGCCCTGGAAGCCCCTCAGCCAGGTCGTGCGGTCTGGGCGCTAGTAGTATATCTGCGCGGCCAGCGCCCGCGGCGATGCGCAGACTGGCCGTATTGAACAGAGCGAAGGCGATCGCGATCAGCAGGTCGCGTGCCCGGCTGTCACCACCGCGCAGATCGTTGTACACGTATGAGCCGATCTGAATATAGAGTCCCTCCCACTCGACGCCCAGTAGTCGGTTGAGAGCCAGGCACAGCGGGATCGCGACGAGTATAGATCGTCGGGCTTGCTGGGTGGTGATGCGGCCGGATGGTATTGGCCGCCACGGCTTGTTCGCCTGGTCCTCCGCCAGGGATTGCGGTGCCGTCTGGTTCTGGACTGTGAGGGTCAGCACATGAGGCTCCTGACATTTAGCTGGGCATGTACCCCTGGTGGCGGTACGGGCTGTAGTTGTCCTCGTATATGTAGCAGGAGAACCTACGGTCAAAAATGAGGACATTTGTCCAGTTGAAGGCCATTGCGAGGAGGGTGGGCCACAGCATCGTAGCAGAAGTCAACCGACCAGCGCCCGCGGCATTTTGCAGAAGCTCCGGCCCGGCAAGAGCGCCCAGCACGCCAAACGCGGTGTTTGGAAGTACGAAGGTGATGAAGTTGCTTTCCGTGAAGGCCCATATAAGACATGGAATCTGGAGAAGGTGTGCCAGAAAGGATTCAGAGGCGAGTGATCGAGAAGTGCCATCGACGACATGCCCAGCATCACTTTCAACCGGAATATCGTGGTCCTCTTTGACTACAGGCATCTCGAAAGCTTAATGAACACCAGGATACCTTGAAGACACCAGAATATCTTGAAGCAAGAGGCCTCTATCAGACCTAAGACAGAAATTGGTAAATATTATAAACGCAGCTTCCAACGGCTGGTCCAGTGGTGATGTTACACCCACCAAGCCGTTCATCTCCCAGCTAGACAGTGGTTTGCAGGTTAATGCCTCGGTTGTTCCATCTGCCGTTGACTGCAGTGAAGTCGCTGCCATTGATTACTGGACTGATAACAAGCAATCAATGTGAGCATGTAGCGTTGCAAGTAACTGAACCCCATGGAGGCGGCTGCAAGTCAATTCGAGCCAAGCCGAGCCAATGTGTGTCGGCCATCTGTGGAGTTATCTTGCTGAACGGCGTAACTTGAATCCAATGCCAATGACGTGGCAGTACTTGCCATTCTACCCAGGAACGAATGATTGAACGAGTAGACAAATTGATTGGCAAGATATCTCACAAATGCCTCACCGTCTTTTCATGGAATGTGGCAGATTTCCGGTATGAATGTTACATTCTTTGATTGTTGGTGGGCTTATTAACCTTTCCCGGTGCTCTGAAAACAACCGAGAGGACCACCCAGAGGCTGCCGATGCCCTTGTGTCGCGTTGAGTCCGTGGTGGCTGCTCTTCGAACTGCAACTCACGTTGTATCCCGAGGGGCTGTGCCAGAAGAATTTGACACGATACGCAGACGGCAGGGGTGCAAGTGGAGGCGTAGACGTCGAAGGTCGAAGGCAGTATGCGGAAATGATCATCCAGCATTGTTTAGCCAAGGGGTGCATATGCCAGCGTGGTATTGACTTTGAGGCAAGTGTCCTGGAGGTATTCTGAGATTGCCTGGGTACATCGCAGTGAAATCGATATCTGTTTAGGCCGTAGGTGTTGCTGCAACATATCGCGCTACTAAGCCAAGTCCTATCCTTACAGGAAATGTATAGAGGGTAGCTCTGGTCCTAAGACGGTCCCGGAAGAGTGGCGGTACGGTTTTAAGAGTTGGCACGGTTCTAAGCCTAGTAAAACGGTATTAAATTTTAATACCATCTTATTAAAGCTTAAACCGTTTTAGCTATTTAACTGCTTGAACTTTAAATTAATAATATTATAAAATTAAGCCGATATAACCGATAGAATTAAAATAATAAAATTACATTTAACCGCCGTATTGTTGAAATTAAGAGTATTACCGAAAGTAAAAATTCTCTTTTCGTAATAATCGTAATTGTCACGGCGAGTGGCACCTAAGACGAGACAAAGCAGACGACAAGGGGGTAACCGACTCTATAGACGAAAATATCGAAGATGAAGAAAGGAAGGAAAGAGAGCTAGATACAGGTGGGAGACAGAGCCATCTAGATGAACCCCTGGCCAGGGTGTGATGTGGGGCGCAGTAGGTTCCGCTGGTGTGTGCCTTCACACTGCCCTCACAGTAATTGAGATGTTTAATTAATTAGAAAAACCATAGTAAATAACAATTGGGTTTTTTTTTAGTAAAAGAATTTTAAATAGAAAACTTAAAAAGTTACATATTTAAATATAAGAAAACGAAATAAATTACTTAAATAAAGAATTTTTTTATCATATCTTATATTAAAGATAAGAACGTAATAAGACGGTTCTTTTAATAAGAACAGTCTTAAAATCCTTATATTAGTTATATCAGATTTTAATAAGGAACGATTTTTAATAAGAAATGAACCCTTAAAGATTTTAATAAAGAACCGTTCTAACCAGAGAAACCGTTCCACCACGGTTCCAACCGCCCATATAATTCCGGTAAGAATCTAGATCACCCCCAAAGAGACCTCGCCAAGATCCTGTTATGCAGCAGCAGACCTTGACATTTACACCAATTAATTGCACTCCATCATCATGCGGCTCGCATCTTCGGGTGGTCCCACTTCCGGAGGGCCTGGACTAGCCTGTCAGCCTCACTGGGCCGATTTCCAAACGGGTGCTGCAGGGTGCGGGTGTGACGGCTCTATCTAGTGGTCAACGTTCGGCCCGGGGTGGTTGAGTCAATATGTCTGATGCAGGTAGGGGTCACACCAATGGTAAGGCGAACCAACAAGATAGGTGGCTGTCATGTAGGCAGACAGGTTGACAGCTCGGCAATGGTAGTCCAGACCAACAAAATGGGGAATCTGCAGCAGGCTGATGGCGACATGGGTGGCGGTCATGCAGTCAGACGGCTCGGCAATGGTAGGATTCCGCAGCAGGCTGATGGCTTGGCCATGCCAAGATGGACCAACAAGACGAACCAACAAGATGGCAGACGCCTCATGGCATGTTCTCACGTTCCATCGTTTGAATCACTCCGAAGGGGGCACGATTTGCCTCCTTCTGACATCTGTTGCCAAGGTCCAAACATCCGTAATGCTCCAAAGGCTATAATTTGCCAGCGACGTATTTGCCGAATTTGGGAGTGTTCGTGTTTTATCCCACTGCTCGATCTCTTCCTCGGAGTACGAACGTGTGTCAGAACTTCTCAAAGGCTTTTGTGTATTTTTCTCCGTACCAAAGTCGAGACCTGGTCGATTCACAAGCCATGGGCGCTGGATCGAGAGGCATCGCCCTCCTTGAGTGGATGGTAGTTTGCACTTTCATCTGCGCCATCATGCTCCTATTACGATACTGGGCTGCCAGAATCCAAAGGAGAAAGGCGTACGCAGATGACTGGATGGTGCTCGTCGCATTCGTGAGTCTCACGCCCCAGGAGTACATTCCACCAAGGAATGGCATAGATACACCACGGCTGCTTCGAGGAACCAGGTACCATGAACGCCGTCCAGTCCAAGCTGATCGTTTCATCATAGAGCAGCACAGTGGCGCTAGTCGGCGTGGGCATTTGGGCAGTCTTCAATGGACTCGGAAAGCACACAAACGAACTAAGTCAGTATGAGTTGGGAATCAATCAGCAGGTCCGCACTCCATTATCTCTGGATATCGCAATGAGTTGCATGACTGACCTGTCTTTTCTATCCCAGCTCGTCGTGGCTAGCTCTGTGTGCTGGCTTGTGGGCACCGTCTTCAACAAACTTTCCCTCTTGTGGCTGTATCGGCGCATTTTCACAACGCCCGCGTTCCTCAGACAGACCATGGTGGTGTTCATCGTGGTTGTCGCCTTCGGTGTCGCTTTCTTGGTCGTGTTCATGACACAGTGCCACCCTGTCTCGTACCCTTGGAGACCGGTACCCGGCGGCGGCTGCCGGGAATTTGCATATGAAGAATACGCGTCCGTCAGCGCCAACATGGCCATCGATCTCGCCATCTTCATTTTACCCCTGCCTGTGCTCTGGAGGCTGCAAATGACGACGCGCAGAAAGTTCTATGTGACGATCATGCTCAGTTTCGGTCTAATGTAAGCAACCATGAACATGCGCAATTGAACCTTGTAGTCCAAACATGGAAGAGCCCTTGGGGAAAAGGAGTATCTACGTCACTGACCCTTGTCATTTCAGTACTATTGCTGTCATGGCCTGGCGCATCCAGGCCACCTACGTGAGCGAGAACGATCCCGACTTCATCTACACACTCGCGACGATCGGCCTCATCAGCGGTCTCGAGCTGTGGCTCGGTATCATTGTGGCCTGCATGCCCACGATTCCCCCTGTTTTGCAGGCGTACGTACGGCCCGCCTTCCAGCAGCTGGCGTCGTACTACTACAGCCGCCGCGGGACGAGTGGGAAGAAGGGTAGCAGTGGTCACGAGCCAGTCCCATCCCATGACATCCAATTGAATGATCACAGTAAGAAGACGTTTGATGACTCTACTGCTGTAGCACCGGGCCTCTCCACCGAGGTCTCTTCGCCGCGCAGAGGGCAGCCGATGCCGACAGGAGGACCGACGGTCTTCGGAAGGGCCTTACGCGGCAAGCGGGATGACAACCCGTACGTGAGCATCGACGACGAGAGCCGCCCCATATGGACAGGGAGAGACGGTGACGCTTGGCACAGCCATGTCCAGGGTGACTTGCCAGTCACGGGTGCAGGTGGAATCGCCGTCCACCACGAGATCAACAGGCAAGAGGAGTATAGACATGATACCGCAATATAGCGTCTAGCGTATCAGCGCTATAGTGACTCGGGCAAACGATTTGAGAGGGAGGGGGGATTCGAGATGGTGTAGGTGGGTACCTTGGGTAGCTGTGTCATTGTAACATAACGCTTATGATATGTCTTTTCTTTTAAGCCTACGGGTACCTCCTGCCGGTTATAACGGAATCTACCCAAGTAGTGGCACGTCACTTACCGCCCTGCACGCGAACAGATGTAGACCTCAGTACCTAGTACCTATGTACCTAGGTACTGGTGGGTATGGAAGCGTGGAGGGTGTGCTCATAAAGTGCTTACCGCGTGCTTGAAGTCCACACGCATATCTGTGCTCGCGTGCATTCCGTCTGCCACCCTCGACCTGAACTTGCTATAAGTGTCGATCTCCATTTCCTCAAGCATTGTCCACAGAAGCCTTGAGTCGTTGCCGCGTGTTTTCGGTTTACCAATACATCCTTTTCCCGATTCTTAAGTGAAGGGTACCCAACTTGAAAATGGCCAACGGTGTACACGTCGAAAAGGTCACGGCTACGAGCTCGGGGCTAGATGAATCACAAGGTGCCATACGCGCGATGCTAAGCAAGGACAAGACCGCCTACCGCATTACTGCAAACGACTACTCTCAGCACTGGGACGACAAAGGGGTCTCGCACGAGACGGATGAGGTCCGACGTGCGCGAGCAGACGCCTACGCCGAGCTGACGGGTCAGTACTATGACATATCCACGGATGTCTACGAGCACGCGTGGGGCGAGTCATTTCACTTCTGTCGGTTTGCACGTGGGGAGAGTTTTGCGCAGGCCATTGCCCGCCATGAGCACTACCTTGCCGCCTGCATCGGCATTCGGAGGAACATGCAGGTGCTGGACGTTGGGTGCGGTGTAGGAGGTCCGGCTCGCGAGATGGTCACATTCACCGGGTGCCGTGTGACCGGCCTCAACATCAGCGAGTACCAGCTCAAACATGCCAGGGCTTACGGCGAAAGGAACGGGCTCTCACACCGGCTCGACTTCGTCCAGGGCGACTTCATGGTATGCGACAACTTTCAGGCTCCCCAATGCTACCCGTGTTCCTTTGTGGGGTCTCTCACCAGTGCTTGGACGTGAGTGATATCCTCAGGCTTGGCTGACTTTTGGGTGTGCGTGGACAGAAGATGCCATTTCCTGATGCTTCATTCGACGCCGTGTATTCCGTGGAAGCAACAGTTCATGCTCCTTCGCTACGGCGAGTGTACAGTGAGATTCACCGCGTCCTGAAGCCAGGTGGACGATTCGGCATCTATGAGTGGGTCATGACGGACGCGTTTGACAACGAAAACATCGACCATCGGCGCATTCGTCTGGCGATTGAGAAGGGCTACGGCATCGCAGCCATGGTCAAGATGTCGGATGCTCTCGCTGCCTTGCAGGAGTCCGGCCTGGAGCTGGAGTCGGAGTACGACCTGGCGGTCAACGAGGGGAATCTCGACGTCGCGCCGTGGTACTGGCCCATGGGAGGTGACATGAGGCACGCTCAGACCGTCTGGGATGTCCTATCCCTACTGAAGAAGAACAGGTACGGGGCAATGGTCACCGCGCGCCTCTTGGGCCTACTCGAAACGGTTGGTATCGCTCCGGCTGGCATTAAAAGGACTGTAGACAGTATGGGTGAGGGCGCAGATGCGTTGGTCACAGGCGGTAAACAAGGTTTGTTTACGCCTATGTACCTTATGGTTGGACGAAAACCATATGTTTAATTACATAGTGTTAGACGGTGGTATCCCTGTTAGGGATGCCCTTTAACACTGATACATGCTAGCTACGGCAGACCATAGGGCTCACTGTCTTAATAGAAAAGTTTTCACATCAACTTTTTTTTTTTTTTTAAATTCCGGAAAAGATGTTTTTAAATACCACGTTAACGATTATTTTTAATAATGTTAAATCGAATGCTATAAATGCACGGTTATGAAGTTATTTACGTTATATATTAAATATATTATATATATATAAGTAAATAATTTATAAATTTAAATAATATAGTTTTATAGTGTTAAAAATCATTAATTTTTAAAAAACCTTTTTAAAACCCTGAGTTTTAAAATGAATTTAACATAATAAAAGGCATTTCATAAAAAAAGTTTTATATAAAAAGTTTTTTATAAGTAATATAATGCCTGTCACGGCGAGCGTACTGAGGAGCTGGGACATGGCCGGCAGCAAGCAGCTATTACTCTATTGACGAGAATATCAAGACTAAGGAGGAAAGGAAGAGAGAGAAAGCTAGGTACAGCGGGAGGCTGTCCCTTTAAGGGGATCCTCCTGTTAGATCCTTCCCTTATTGGGAGGTATCGGCTTATCATGTGGGAAGGTCTATGCAGGCCGTCACATGGTCGAGGATTATATCTTGTTAAACAAAGTCTTTATTTTAATTAAAAGGAATAACAACGGTCGGGTTTAGCGAGGTTTCTAGTCGCTTTAAGGGTTCTAAGGGTTTTAAGGGCTCTGGTTCGAACCTAGCGTTAATAGCGCCTTAATAAGGGGTTATCGTAACGGTAACCTACCTAGAGCGTTATTAGTTAAAATAAAGCGGGTAAAAACGTAAACTTTTTCCCCCGGATAAATCATAGCAACTTACGGTGTAAATAGAAATCTCCTTGGATGTTTTCTTAAAATACGCGGCAGCCGTCGCTCGTTATAACGCTGTTAAACTGCTAGCTTATTACCGATCGCTCCCGCACCGCTTTCGATATAGTAGACCTAGTAAACGTTTAATAAGTGTGACGGCCTGCACAGACCTTCCCACATGATAAGCCGATACCTCCCGATAAGGGAAGCGACAAGTGGAACAGCGGCCGAGTCCCCCTTGGTCATGGTGTATGTGCAGGGTTTGCGAGGCGTTGGGCATGGGCAGAGTGGTTTCGGCGTAGGTGTCGTGATGAACGCCGCAGAAAGGCGCAGTCGCACCTTTTGATAGAATAGAGGATGACGCAGTCTTCGGGTCGACTTGGTCAACACAAGGCATGGGTGTAGAGATACCGAAGCGATGATCGATCATAGGCGGTATGACACCAACCTGACGATCGTCGTAACGAGCCCCAGTTTGAGACGATGTCGGCTCGAGAGCTCGGAGACCGTCTGGATCAACGCTGGCAGGGACATTGAGATCTAGACTGCAGACCTTCGGCTCGTCGACCTTGTCAGCGGGCAAAGCATCGCTGATGTGTTTGTCGTTACAGACCACGCCTTTGGCAGGACCAGAATCTGTGTAGCCCTCAAAGTCGAAGTACTCCAACCAGTCTTCGTTGTCGCTATCACCTTTTGTCGGTGGAAGCAGCCAGTCGAGACCTGACTCGGCCTGGCCCTGCGTAGGAGTCAAACTCCCGTGGGTCGAAAGTGGTCGGTTGCAGTTTGTCATGTCGTAGAAAATGGAGAAGTCGAGGACAGAAGGTTGAGAATGAGTGAAATGGAGAAGAAGGAGAGGAAGTCTGCGATTCCCCGGATGACGGGCTGCCTCCCCTTTATACCTGTGAGCTGGGCATGAGTAGCCTTACGCTCAACCTTGCCGTTGTTACTGGGGATGTTTGGCGAGCCAATGGTGTCTCGACGCGTAATCGTACTGATACTGCCCGTGTGTTCTATCCTTGCGATCTGCCATGATGAGACACGAGAGTGTGCATATAGGATCTCGTCATTAGATTGATGTGATTGTACCGCCCATTTGCCCGACTCGGCGGCAAAGGTGAGACTCACTTGCCGAGTAAGGTGAAATCTAAGTCTATTTGTAGTTATTATCACAGTAATAACAAGTACACAGCTGAGGTACCCCTCAGTCAGGTCCCCAAGCGGCCAAGTAAGCCAAATTCCTGGGTCGCAGAGCACCCTCTCTCCGTGCCACCCAGAGTTGCGACGCGTTTAACACCAACCCTTGCTTTCTGACCATAAAGGAACCCTCAATTCTCGTCTGATCGATATTATTTCTTCATCATCTTTATACTCTTCTTGTCCTCTTTCCATAATGCCTGGTCTCGCCACGCAGCTCCGAGCCAACAACACGATTGACGATGTCCTTGAGGGTAGGCCCTTCGCAATGCTTCGAAGACCAACCACGTCGGAAGGACCTACTTACGTAATAGGATCGTCGGTGTACGATCACGCAAAGACGTCTCTGAGGCTCTCCAGAAGCTATCAAAAGACCAAGAATACCATCTCGCTGATTGGGTGATTGGTTAGGGGAAACTAGGGCTCTCACCACTAGTTTCACGCTTTCGCCTGTACGCTTAGCGCAATTCTGCCGCAGAGTAACCCCAATTCGACCCTAGGGTACTCCTGTTATCGTCGTTTTTTGGCCAGGAACCTCCTCTTTAAACCATGAGGAGCCGCATGATCGATTACAAGCGCCTGAATGGTGATTTTCCTCGTGGGTTACGACTCCTACAAGTTCACAGCATCCCCTAATGACTGGACCAGCAAGGAGCTCAGCTGGCTCAAGGAGGTGTTCATGCCCTATTCGAAGCTAGGAGATCCTAATCAGTGGTGGCTTCTTATTCTGGATAGCCAAGCCTGTCACACCACCGAAGACTTCATGTTCCGGTGCTTCTCGTATACGGCTTCTTTCCCTGCCAGCGCACTTGTTACACCTACTACAGCCCCTGGAATATCTTCTTAGAGGATAAGCATAACAGATTCGGATATGCAGACGACGTAGGCATCCGAATAACGGGCAAAACCACTACCGAGCTAGCAGCCAAGGCAGCTAGCATGGTAGACGATATTCTACGCTGGGGCCTAGACAACAAGGTCACCTTTGAAGACTCCAAGGCTGAAGCCATCTACTTTGATACTGGGAGGAGACCTCTCACACCAGAAATAGTCACCCCCGGAGGCTTCACCATCAAACCAGCGCAACCAGTAAAAGGGGCGGTGGTCCGCTGGCTGGGGATTTTTTTCGACAGGTCCCTGAAGTTCCGGGAGCATGTCAAAAGACGGGCAGCCAAGGGCCTCGTCGTGGCCAGACATATTCGAAGTCTTGCGAACACTGCCAGAGGGCCCCTAGCAGTAGCCCTCCGTAAGGCGGTAATTACATGCGTGATTCTTACCATGACCTATGGGGCAGAGGTCTGGGGGGCCAGGGATTACAAGAGAGCAGGAAACGGTCAGGCCCGGGACGTGAACACCCGCCAGAACGGCCACTCAGACGACCTCGAAAAAGTCCTTACAGAGGCTATCAGAGGGATTCTCCCGGTCTGGAGAATTATACCAAAAAAGGTACTCTTCAAAGAATCAGGCCTACCAACAATACAAACTATACTCAGTAAGATCCGGATACGGTTCAGCCTGAGAATCAGAGCTATGGATAACATGCATCCGTTAGTCTGATGTGTTACAGCCCGGAACCCTACCGTGAACAGAGGCCTGATGGGTCTAGTTAGGATAACCGCAAGGACACGGCTCCAAAGGACGTATGAACTCACACCGGATTTTCCAAGACCAATCTTAACGGAATCAAGATATGCAACGAACACTGACAAAACTGTTATAACAAAAAGCAAAGCCGAAGAAACCAAAGTCTTCATAAGCTGGCTAAAATTGCTTCCGCCTTCACACATAGTCGCCTACTCTAATGGCTCAAAATCCCTGGAGGGTGCAGTGGGCTATGGATACGCGATTTATAGAGACCAGACAAACGTAGCCTCGGGCTGTGACAGACTGGGCCACCCGGCTGAGGTCTTTGACGGTGAGGTCAAAGGGGCCCGCCACGCACTCAGACAGGCCCTGAGGCTCAGCACCGGCGCCACCATCCACGTGTACCTGGATAATACAGCAGTGATCTCCGGACTGTGGGGGGAACCAGCTCAGAGCTCCCAAGAAGCTTTCCTAGAATTCTACGAAATCTCGGACACATACGCCGACGTACAGGTCCGGTGGGTGCCAGGGGACATGGACATCCAAGGCAAAGAAGAGGCCGACGAAAAGGCAAAAAAAGGCACCACCTTGCCAATCCCTACCGGGGCCAAACCCACGCTTACGGGCGTCTTAAGCCTTCTCAAAAAAAGACTCGAAAAGAACACCAGCAATAGTGGGACAAGAATATCACTGACAAATACAAAAGTCTCGGCCTTCAGAAAACTATACTCAAGTGCCCAGAAGAGCTCAAGCTTGACAGGCCAACGCTCCACAGGCTTATCGCATCTAGAACTGGCCACGGCGACTTTAGCTGGTAAACTGGGTGGACAAAAGTCTCCGCCCGACCCACCACAATCTCCTTCAGATCAAAACAACGCGTCAATCACCTTTCGACTTCACCACTCTCTCAACACCGCAATTGATAATGGATTTACAATCTTTTAGGGACAAATTAAGCGGTAATCGCGTCGCTAACGGCAAATTCACTTCAGAAGCTCGCTCAGCAATCGTGGCGGCGCAAATCGACGGCAGAACGCGTAGGGATATTGCAACCGCATTTAAAACAAAGCGCCTGAAAACCATCTCTGATATTATCACCAACTTTGAGGCCACTTTTACACCAAAATCTGCTCCAAGGAGCGGTCGCCCACCCGTTTTGAATACTCGCGAACGCGCTCATGTGATCGAAAAGGCGAGAGAGCTCCCCAAGGCGACGTGGCAGAAGATCCAAAACAAAGTCTGCGTTTTGTGCTCTCTCAAGACTATCAAGAGGATATGTCACGCACACGGCCTCCAGAAGTGGCGCGCAGCGAAGCGAATCAAGCTCACAGATAAATACGCTCAGAAGAGGCTCGCTTTTGCCAATTATTACAGCATACCAGAGCGCCTGGAGGAATTGTTGCGAACTATGTTCTCAGACGAATGTATGGTCCAAAACTCATCCGATAATCCAGGCGATTGGGCCATCCGATTCTCTTCAGAGCGGTACCGTTATGATCTTGTGAACGAGAAGGATCACGGCAAATCTCGTATTTTGATAATGGTGTGGTCTATGATCTGGCTACGCGGCGGAGAAGGAGGACTAGGCAAGTTGGTCTTCTGCCCACTCGATCCGGATGCTCTGCCGGAGGAGTATCCGCAGAGTCATATAAATGGGTTCTTAAGGAAGGCCTGTTTTCGTTTTACGAGACTAGAGATCTTTTTGTTCAAGATAACGCAAAAATTCACCTCACTGGCGGTGTTCCGGAGTGGATGGAGGAGCACGGCATCCACTGTATCGACTGGCCTCCTCACAGCCCCGATATGAACCCAATCAAGCACGTTTGGCGACTTCTAAAAAAGAACATATGTGAAATCGAGCCTGAATTTTCTGAATTGAAAGATAATATCCCCCATTATCGCTACACACACAAGTTAATTGAGCAGGCGTGGTCAGAGATCGATCCAGAGCAGGTTCGAGCCTTGATGGAGTCACTGGAGGACCGAATAGCTGCAGTGAGGCGCGCCGGTGGTTGGTATACACATTATTGACTTAGTTATTAAATACAATTTATTTGAGAATTCTATCACCAGAATTGGATGTGTTATGGTTCAATTGAGTTAGAGGGTATAGTAGATGGAGGAGGTAAAATTGGGGATCGGGCGGAGACTTTTGTCCACGCATTGTACCTGACGATTCGGACGGCTTCGCTACTAGCTTTGCCTTTGACCTCGCCGTCGCTTTCTTCTAAGGGGTTCCGGGGGCCCTGACAGCGCGAGGTAGGGCGCTGAAGGCGCTGCATATGGCCCTGGAAGCGATGTATGTAGCCTGGTCGCCAATCTCGTCGTCGCGGAGGCTCTGCACTCTGGAGGTCCTGGAGGTCCTAGAGGTTGCTTCACGGCGGAAACAGTACTTTGGTCTTGGTAGGTAATGTACCAGAAAACGGGTACCAAGGCCCTTAGCTAGAAACGGCTAGCTGGGCAGGGACACCGTCAGGTTATGCAGTAACACCGTTAGAATAGACGTTCCGGGAGCTGCGGGGTGGATTTTCAGAGGTGCAGTATCGCTCTTTATCTCCAGCCAATCAATTAATTTTACCGATATTAGCGCGTTTAAATGCTCCTCTTGGGGAAGTGGGGGGAAGGAAGGAAAGTGGATTAGCTAATTCAAACTTTAATTACACTATGTATGTAAATGATTAAAGCTTTGTTAATTATTTATTTATAAAAAAATAAAAGTTTAAGCTACTTTTATATAATATTTCATATATACGAGATTAAATAAGTCCGTTTTACCGTTTGTTAAAATTTTAAACTTAACGATTTAATTAAAAAGTATAACGTTTTACTTTAATTACGGTTTAAATTATGTATAACTTGTTATCGTGAAAAAAAAGTTTAAGTAATCGCCTTAAAAACTTCTTCTTATTAAGAATTCTAGGGCCGAAATAGCGACGAAATTAATAATAAAGTTAATAATAAAGTTATATAAATCGGGTATAACTCGAATGAATGACACTTTTTAAAACTTAATACTTTTATTATAAGTATCGGGTTTTAAAACTTAATAAATTATAATGTTATTCGTATTAAAACTAATAATTAAGGTAAAAAGAAGTACTTAATATTAAAAATGTTTAAGTGCGACTTATACCGATTAAAATATACTTGATTTTTTAAGCGGCATTAAACTTAATACGCGGAAATTGTTATTAAATTAAAAATTTACACCGTTAAATTAAATAGTTCGAATATATTTAAAATCTGTTTAAGATATGTAAGATATAAAATAATACGACTACGTTTTAATAGGTTTTAACTTAAAGCTGTTTAAAACGTAAAATCATTTATATTTATAATGTACTTATAATTTTAATATATTAACAGCAAGTGTGTACGCAAAATATTTATTTAAGATATAAGTATAACGATATTATTTTACGGCTGCGATTACGATATTACAAATACGATAACGAGTTAATCGCAATAATAACGAGTTAATTGTAGCGACGACGAGTTAATCGTAACGAAAAATTAATGTAATACGTGCGGCGTTACGTACGGCGTAATTCATATAATACGTTATATTATTTACGGTATGAGGTTGTGACGGCCTGCACAGACCTTCCCAAATGATAAGCCAATACCTCCCAATAAGGGAAGGATCTGACTGGGGGATTCCCTTAAAGGGACAACCTCCAGCTGTACCTAGCTTTCTCTCTCTTCCTTTCCTCCCTAGTCTTGATATTCTCGTCAATAGAGTAATAGCTTCTTGCTGCCAGCCATGTTCCAGCTCCTCAATACGCTCGCCGTGACAGAGGTTGTTAATGCTTAGTTATTTAATTTAATCGATAATATATAAGGGCCGTCGTACATTTTTTGCCTTTTTTATATTTTAAACATTTATCTCCCTTATAAATATATACAATTAATCGTTTTATTCGGATATATTAAATATTCTTTTTATATCATAGTTTTAATTTCTTTATTATTTTATTATTTTAACCCTTCGTACTAAGTGGCGGTCCTTTAAAACCTTGTTTATAACAGCTTTAAGTGTTATTATTTTCTTCCCTTTATTTAATATATACCATGTTATGTAATGATTAATTTTTCGTTATAATTAATTTAATTTTATATCGTCGTTACGATTTACTTTCGTAAGTAACTCGTCGTTATCGCGATTAACTCGTTATTTCTATAATCGTTATATTATATAAATAATTTATTTATAAGTGTAGCCAAGCATTTTACAATCTAAGCGTTGTCTTAATAAGCAAATTGTAAATATGAACAACTTTACGTTTTAAGCACCCATATTAGCCACCCCGGAACTTCTGGTCACTACCCCCGAGCGTATTCCCCGCACGTGACAGCCTTAAATTTAAGGGGATAAGACACCTACTTGCAGTCTGTCAGATTTGAGCCAATCGTGAGGTTCAAGTGTGTGTGTGTATTCTGTCTGTCTCTGAAGTGTCCCTGTGCGACTCTGGCAGCTTTGTGCACAAAGCTGCCAGAGGGGACTGGATCGGGACGGAACAACTAGGTTCCGGTGTCTACCTATCGAGGTGCCCTTCCGGGCTCACCTTTTAACCCAACACAGTCCCCGCTTGTCCATTTCCCTCCACTCCTCTAAAAGTTAAAACCCAGCAGCTAGCAACCCACCCTACTAGTACCCAAAGCGGCAAGATACTCAACCAGCGAACATGTCTCCAGCAAAGTCGATCCTTGTAACAGGCTGCTCGGCCGACGGCATCGGCGCTGCCATAGCGCTCGCACTGGCCCGCCGCGGCCACCACGTGTTCGCGACGGCCCGCAATCCTGCTAAGATCCCCGAATCTCTCAGCAGCCTCACCAACGTCACCGTGCTACCTCTCGACGTCGCAGACGCGGCCTCGGTCGCGGCGGCGGCCCGGGCCGTGGCGGACGCCGGGCGCGGGCTGGACGTGCTCGTCAACAACGCCGGCGTCGAGCGCATGCAGCCCGCGATCGACGTCGACATCGCCGTGGCCCAGCGCATGATGGACGTCAACTTTTGGGGGCCGCTGCGGGGCACGTATAAAAATATCCCTATTTCAGACCCGAAGTCCCCAGGTCTTGAATATACATGAACATTCTGCTAACTTCTCGGCAGTAAGTAAATATGCTGGCAATCCCAGAAATACAGGGTACGGTAACTAACCAGGGACATTTCAATACACTAGATGATCCAGGCTTTCGCCGATCTCCTGATTACGAGCCGCGGCCGTATCGTCAATGTGAGCTCGTCGGCCTCTCTCATCTACTCGCCTTGGAACTGTAAGTCCATGGTTCGGCAGCTTACCTACCTGCGTTGCTGGACATTCGCATCCGAATCCATTTCTCTGTAACAGCCCGCTCCAGATATTTGTTCTCCCCTTGTTTTTCTACCTTTCTTTCGTTCCCATCTTCGTGAGGCACTTCGAGCAGCCCCGTGTTTATCAAGCTGACACCCTGGGTCACCACCAAAGCTACATACGCCGCATCCAAAGCCGGGCTGAACGCTCTTTCCGAGACGCTGCGTCTAGAGCTCGCGCCGTTTGGCGTGAGCGTCGTCACCATCCTCCCCGGGATCATCGACAGCCAGATTCGCGTCAACGGCGCGGTGAGCTTTGACCTATCCCCGACCTCGCGCTATGCGCCGATCAAGGACACCATCACCGGTTGGGCCACTGGCGACGCCGTGCCCAAGGACAGGCTCTCGGTCGATGGGTTCGCTGAGTTGGTTATGAGCGATGTCCTTGGCGCCGACAAGGGAGGGATAGTGAGCAGGGGACCTTATGCTCTACTGCTCCGACGTATTGGTCAGTGGGCGCCGACTTGGATCGCGGTATGTCTCTCTGTTTTTGGGTTCGAGTCGATGCCGGGTGCGGCCTATGACGGCCGTGCAGTTGGCAGGGTGTCTCTCACACTAATATGTTTTTGATAGGATCGTATTTTGAGTCTGAACACGGGCCTCGATGAGCTATTGCGAGAAGTCTCCAAGGGCAAGAGTACAAGAGCGAGTGAATAAGAATGACTGGTAGTTATTCGGGGCGCGGTCGTGACGAACCGAGCTTGTTGGGGAGGGACTTTTGGCCAACCGGGCTGTTGGGGTTTGAAGCTTGATGAGTAACTAGCAGTTGTGATGTATTGAAGAATGCAGACCGTGGATCTTCCTCGCCTTGTAGCAAAGCGAGATGTGCCTTCAATTAACATGGAACAAAAAAATGAACGGAGTGAAACGGATGACCGTGACCACTGTCGCCGTCTTTCACGTGGCGATTTCTAAAACCAAGATGGATATCATCCATACCCTGCCATCTGTGTGCCATGCTATTTAAGTACTCGGCTACCATCACAGAGCTGGAGAGTCTGCCTCCGTCGCTTAGAAGTATGAGCCCGTTACGCTGGACCCTGTTCTGCTCGCGAAGTACAGTACAGTACCAACCATATCTTCAATGCCGCCGAGCCGTCGTGATGGGATATCCAGTCTGTCCCCGTGGCTTTCCTCGTCCAGACCTCTGTCAGAGATCATTTCATTCGCTGTCTCCGAGGGGAATACTTGGGCTCGTCGTTAGATAAAGCAGAGGTTCACTAAGCGTCGACACGGAAGAGGGCCGAGGAATCCATTGATCTATGTGTCTACCTGTTGACTGGTGTGCTGCAGACAAATAAGTACTGGGTAACTTTAGCACTTGAATCAGGCAATACGTCGAGCGTAGGTGGGAGCGTTTGCTTGTCATGTTTATACATACAACCACCATGCCGATCCAAGGAATCGGAGTTCATTCTACTATGGTCGGTGATCCAGCCATTGGACTGTTGGACCTTTGGCAGCATCCACGCGATACGTCGCTTTGGGAATCAGCCACGTGAGGCGTAAGGGAGTGCAACTCTCACATATGCACACCACAAGCGGAGTCGGCAAACTCGGCGGTGTCTTTCAGCCTGAGGTCAGGGGTGTTGGGATGTTGGTTGGGTGTACATGTACCAAAGTAACACAGAACCAGATAGCATCAACAACCAACAGCACCGCATAAAAGTTATGAATGTCTCTCGGAAGTCCTGATCTACGTTGTAACTTGTTGGTCCCTCCGTTCCACTCACTTTTTCCGGCGCACTACATTGGAAAGGTCTTCTTGAAGGTCGGGACTGGGTTCAGCTTTCGTCACTACTTGACCGACCGTCGAGCTTCACTGCTTCACCATAAGACAACAAGTCGAGCAACCGGCAACCGTAGGGTCATTACCGTTGCAGGCCTTCCCTAGATTGTAGCTTCGGTTTCCGCAGAGCGAGATGATCTGTCATGAAGAGGCCACATGCAGCGGTCGACAGTCCCAGCGGAAGGACGCAGGCCCTTTCGTGTGACAAGTCGCTGGGAATATGGGACGTCAGACTGCATCGTAACACCGTGTACTGCTGGTACGCAGCTTCGGACAACTTGTTGACACGCTTGTATGTGCCGACGGCGTGGCCGACGACGCGGTCGCCAGGCTTGAATCGTTGATCCGCGCTGCCGCCGCGCCCAACTTCCACCACCACCCCCGACACGTCGTGGCCCAGAATGGTGGGATACTTGAGCCACGTCAGCATGAACTTGCCGGCCATTTGCACTGCTGCGTCGACCGGGTTAATCGCGACGACTTCATTCTTGACCACTAGTTCGTCCGGACCGGGTGCGGTGTAATGAGCAGGGCGGATCTCCAAAGGGCTACCGCGCTTGTCGATGAGGAACGCTGCCTCGTTCAGGGTCGGCATGGTCAGATGAAGCTGACAAGGCGAGACTGGACGGTGTGATGTCGGTGAGGACTGAGGAGTCGAAAACACCAACGAAGAGTACTGGCTGGGTGTCAATTGACACACTGGATGGTGACTGATTTGTCGGGACTGTAGTACTGATGAGGCAAACTGATACACCTAAGGTGATGGTACCGAGCACAGGCTGCCCAAGGTGCGGACTCAGAAATAGCCCGGCATCAAATCTCTCCGAAGTGAGTTGCGACAGCATCCGTCGAAGAAAGTCACGCTGATGCTGTCGTCATCGCCTGGGGGGAGGTCAACGAGTGTGGGGAGCAATGCCGTCCAACTCGCTCGAGCGGCGGGCTACGAAGTGCTGGCCACGGCGTCTCCCAAGAACTTCGAGTACCTAAAGTCCCTCGGCGCATCCATGGTCTTCGACTGCAAGCAACCCGACACAGTTTCCAGGATCATCGACGCACTTCAAAGCAAGAGCTGTGCAGGGGCGCTTGCCATTGGCGCGGGCTCTCTGGAGGCATGCATTGATATTGTCGCAGCCGTGCCGGGCCGCAAATTCGTTTCTCAGGCCAGCCGCCCGGCGGACATGAGCGACATGCCCACCAACATGGTTGGATTGTTTAAGACAATCTTCGGGCTCTTGTGGTGGAATATCTCGACCGCTTTGAGGGCGAGATCAAAGGGGGTCTCCACCAAGTTCATCTGGGGCGGCGACGTCGTGGCCAACGAGGTCGGTTCGATGACTTATCAGGACTTCTTGCCGGAGGCGTTGGCGAGCGGGCAGTATCATGCAAAGCCCGACCCCAAGATTGTGGGAAAGGGACTTGAGAGCCTTCAGGGGGGCATTGATACCTATAAAAGGGGTGTCTCTGCGGCGAAGGTGGTTGTCTCTCTGTAAGATATTGCTTCTTCGAGAACCCGAAACTCATTCACTAGGCAATCCTCCTATCTGCGTGCTGGGGTACCGGGTGCTCCAGGCAACATATCGATTGAACCACGGAGCTCGGGGCGCGTACCCGTACTGGTGACTTCTTTTCTACTAGCGATGTAGCTGGTACTACGTTTTTCGCTCTCGTAGCCTAGATTGTCTTGAGTATATAATTGCCGTGACCCTGATTTCGGTCTGTGGGCGCAAAACCTGCTTGTGATGATGGCCTGCCTGTCCAGCCTTCACAACTCAGATGATACGTGCGTAGGTAGTCATCTACTGGGTCTCCGGAAAGTATTTGTAAGGGAAGAACCATCTATGACCACTCTGCGACGAACACGAGCTCGTTCTCTTCGACGAAGAGCCTGGCACCACAGAATGGCCACAGCGGCTACGTCATCTTCATTCCACTATACGCATGTGAGTCTCGACTCTTTAAGCCTGTCATCTGAGTAGAATTCGAGGGCTAACCTGTCGCAATAGGTGGCAAAGGACATACAGAGGGCTCTTGCGACGACTCGGATGCGGGAGTCATCGGGGACGACGGCGTCGCTTGTGTCACCAAGATGCTTCCGGGGAACGAGCCCGATGGGATCTGGGATGTGGTCACTGTGGACTAGGAAGAGTCTGACCGTCCTAACAATGCACAAGGGGGAAGGTGGCGAGATCTTCAAGTGGGATGTAAGTGGCGGAGTTTGCATGTGTGTGCTTTGAATTTTCCTTCCTTACCGTTTCGCTCGTTCTTAGCTCGGGTTTCCATATTTGGTTGCGCATATCGCGTCTTCTTCCACCTCGAGTATGGAGAGAATCTTACTTCGAAGTGTTAACAACTTCCGTCCCGGCGCCGCCTGGGTTACCATGATTACCTCACTACATCAAATGACTGTAGAACTCTCGCTGCCCTCATTGGGATGTCATACCCGTCAGTACCATCTCCTGCCTCATCTTGAAGATGTGACGCCTCTATCTCCATCCAACCTACACCACCTCTAGAGTCGTCCAGGTGCACCCATTAATCAAGGCTGCTGATCCCCCCAGTCAGAGTATGAGAAGATTTGGTCAAGTGACTGGTCGAACCTTTGGCACCATTATCACCGCGGTGAATGACGATGATGTATGCTACCAAGCAGGCGAATACCAGCATAGGGGCACCATCTACGCAATTACAACTATTTTTCTTGGCGCCCCGCTATTAGGGTGCAACCTCTATATATGTGCTAAAGCAGGCACTTGTCCCAGTAACCGACTATCTTTGCCAAGGCGGAACAGAATTTTTCTCACAAGCCGGATGGCACCCTTCTATGACGGGCCCCCAAAAACGCCCGTGGCCGTCCCGAGGACGACCACTAGCGGCGTGCTCAAATCCCCGGCCCCTAAAAAGACATACAGTCCGGCAACTCCGAGCAGGCTCTGCCAGGCGCTGCTTGACGACATTAGCAGCAGCCCGTCACAGGTCTCTGAGGCTGACTTCATCATTATTTCCCCTCTGAAAGGAAAATCCCAAAATATTAATAACAGCAGCACTACTAATATGAAACGACCTCGATTAAGCGAAATCTCTACAGACCTAGCCATTGAATGCAATGCAGGGAGTAAAGCCTCTTCCTCAGAGTGCCAGGACCAAGTTACCAAGATACTGGCTAAAGACGGGCACCTTTATGAAGCCAAGATGACAATGGTTCAGGAGTGTATTATAGCAGTTGATAAGACACTCAAAAAAGCCGGAACTGAATTATACTCACATGCCAAGGAGTTCGGCGCCTTCTTCTCTAAATGCCTGAGCGAGTGGCTGGAAACCCAAGATTCGACCATAAGGAAGGCCACTTCTAGGGGGACTGGGAAGCCCACCATGACTTTTGCCCAAGCCGTCTCTTCTAGCCACCGACAGCATCCACTAACAGTCAATACTACCATGAAGAGAGCACAGCCTGGCGCCTTCACTGGTACTAACCAACTGAAGAAGAAGAAGCAGGAGGATCTCTGGGTCTCTATCCGCATGGATAATAGCCACTTAGAGCCCTATGGGGTAAAGTCTACACTGAATAGAATACTTAAGCTCCACCCCTAAGAGCTTAGAGAGGTGACGCAGTGCCCCTCTGGATTTACCTTACACCCAAGGGACAAGCTGTGAGATTTCAAAGTGTTCTATTAAGGAGAGGAATTCCAGCTACTCTGGAGCGGCCAGAGTGGCCCTATATATCCAAGATACTAAAGGAAAGGATACGTGGCCTTATGTGGCCACGTATGTGACAGAGTCACAGATGGGGATGGTGATCCTGAAGGATGACTATGGATGGGCTAACGTAGCCCAGAATCCAACAAAAACATCAACACAGGCATCTGGTCGTCTATTCTGTGAATACGGCAGGAGGATAAAAGAGTGCAGGCCCCACAGAATTAGCCATTTGTTACGAACCAACAACACCACAGGCCTGTTGGCAGGCCTGAGGGAAAGGCGGCCTACGAGGAGGCCAATTAGAACAAGAACGCAACCCGGAACAGACTGAAGGCGCCCGGTCACGTGATCTAGGGAATAGGGATCACGTGACATGGTTTTGCTCACGCCTGCTCGCAGTGAGCAACGGTGAGCAAAGGGGGTTGCTCACTCCTGCTCGCAGTGAGCAGCAGTAAGCAGGACCCCATCAGTGAGGGAGAGATTGGATATATAAGGATGGACATTTCCTAGCTAGTACAGATAGACAGTCTCTACCTCAGTGATCAATCTAAGCATCTTAGCCAACACTAAGGTGGGAGAAACCTCCTGACGACTCGACTATTCAGTGAACCCAGTTCAGACCAAGCCCCAGCATCTGAGTTTCTTCTAGTTGACAGAAGCCTCTATCGTCTTTTGTATTAACTTACCTCAGAATATAAACCCTATAGAACCATTTAGCCTTATAGGTTAGACGGCTCGTCACATTTTGATCACTCTTGTTCAGTTAGTACTTATAACGACTGCTGGGCAATATCAACTCGACAATGGCACCTCAAATCCCCGCAGGAAGCACGGTAAATGGGCCGACCACAACGCCCCAAGACATGGTCCGCATGGTACAACAACTCCAGACCAGAATCCAACAACTCGAGGTCAACAACCAGCAGCTGGAAGCACAAGTCCTGGCAACCCCAGTAACTGGGAACAGTGGGTACAAGTTACCCCCTCCAGCTTCTTACAATGGGAAGGATGGCAACGTTCAAGGCTTCCTTACCCAGGCCAAAGCCTACCTCAGGTTCTATGTACGCCAGATCAATACGGAGCCAGACAAGGTGCTCTGCGTGGCAGGATTCCTCAAGGGCAACGCCCTCGAGTGGTTCGAACCAACCATGAGGAACTACCTCGACAAGGATGAGGACGAGAGGGAAGACGAAACCAACAAGGTCTTCCAAAGCTACCGCCATTTCGAAGGAAAACTCAGGGCAATATTCGGAAACCCTGATGAGGCCAGATCAGCGGAACGACGACTTATGACGCTGCGACAGCAAGGATCAGCATCCAAGTACGTGTGACGGTCTGACCTTCTGGAAGTCTGTCAACCCATCAGGGTGGCCTGTGCGCAGCATCACATGACCTGGCGCACAAGACGTGTGGCCACAACTGTACTAGGCTAGGTAATAGTGGGGCGGATGGAAGGATCATTAATCCCACCAGAATTGGCTGGCGGGTCAGATCCTTCTTTCCCTCCCCACCAAGAGATTCTTACACGTAGGTAGTGCAATCAGGACTTTTATGTCCTCATCCTATTTACGCTTCGTGACAGTACGCAGCAGAATTCAAGCAAATTACGTCTCGAACCGACTGGGCCGACAAAGATGCTCTCATAGCACAGTTCTACACCGGACTCAGAGAAGATATCAAGGACGAAGTGTCCAAGACCAAGCGACCCGATAAACTAGACAAGTATATTACACAGGTAGTTAAGATTGATAATAGGCTCTACAAGCGGCGGGCAGAACGACAAGGCTCAGGAACTAGGACCTTCACCAAGCTAAACATGGGGAAACGACGGTACGACAACCGAGGCTACGCCCCCAAGGCACCCAGCACCGCTACGGGTTACCATTCAGGACCCATGGACCTTGACGCAACCAAACATGACAAGAAAGACGTCAAGTGCTATAACTGTGGAAGGAACGGCCACTACAAGAAGGAATGCCGCTCCCCACAGAAGAACAACAACCAGTGGCGAAGGGTACCAGAACCCCAATGACAAACAGCCACTACGGCACGCTCAGGATACTGCAAGGAGCGAGAGGTCAATATGATAACCAAGGCCAGCACTTTCCAGGAACCTCGCATCCTAGAAGAGGAGTGCGAATGCTATCATGACCAAACGGGGAAAGCATACCCTACGCACCCTCACTCAACCAAATCTCAGGAAGCAATCTGCAAGGGATGCTACTGCTACACCAGTGTAGTATGTAAATTACACCCGGGGGGATGGGCAGACAGCGACGACGAAGAATAAGACGAAGGCGCCATGACATTTGACGACAATGGGCGACCAGAGTTTCCCGAAACCACCCCGGAAAACTGTCACCGATTCCAGGATGACATTCGAATTGTAACGCTAGACAAGCAACGGTCAGAGGTTCACGTTATAACCACAGCCAGCACAAACAGTGCTACTACACAGGAGTTCGATGCACAACACTTCCAAGAGCTCAACCTTGAACTGTTCAAACAGATGACAGCTCAAGAACAAAGCAAGGAGCTCCAAGGGAAGAAGGAACTCCAGACCGACGGATGGATCGCCATCCCGGGACAAAGGATGGAAGAAGAGGAAGAAGCAATCGACTTCATCCAAACCCACATGAACAAACCACCAAAGGTTGACACACGAGAGGAAGACACCTGCCTAATTCCAGAGGGACTAGGACACGAAGAGTTGTCCTGGGTCTCCTGCATCTTCCACGACTGTGGATTACACCTAGGGGAGAAACTACACCACCAGTGGTTTCCTATGAGGAATGGACAACACTCTATCACCAGACTATACCTGGAGCATGAGACTCAAAGAGTCGTTACCACGCCTAGGGAAACCTACGCTATCTTACGACCCGACCTGGCATACCCCAGGGAATGTCTGCAAGACCAAGAGTGGAGCCAATGCCTGAAAGACGAATGTCTCGTCCATGCCACAAGGAAAGCCAAGGCATGGAGGGAAATCAAGCAAGCCTACCAAGGGAAGCAAACCAGATTCCTACTCCCCAGCGGAGGAAACGACCAGGCAAACAAGAAGGCCAGGCGAGCAATACCAGCGCCTAGAGGATGACGAGCACAACCAGATGACAACACGCAAGTCAGTTCCAAGACTCAACAAGTATGAGCCCATTCAAAAAATGGAAGAGGCCAGCAGTAACGGGACAACCGCTGGACCTGAACGACAAGTCCCTGTACGAAATCAATACAGGACTATACGAACACATCATCATCAAACTCATATATAACGGATACAAGATCCAGGCAATGATCGATACAGGAGCACAAGGGAATTACATCTCACCACGAATCGTCAACAAGCTCCAAATACCATGGAAACAGAAAGACGCCCCATACCGACTCAGGACCGTTAATGGAAATTTAGCAACGTACGAACAAGGAAACATCGGGAGAGAAACTGCAGCACTCTCACTCAATATCCAAGGACACGCCGAGGAACTTACGCTCGATATCGCGGATATCTCAGGACACGAGATTATTTTGGGGATACCCTGGTTGCGGGTGAGCAATCCCAGAGTCAATTGGAGATCCGGCTATCTCCAGTGGGATACACCAGGAAGAGACTTAGCCTCTGCGCAGCGCTTAGAAGAAAAGCCCGCAAGCAAGCCTGAAAAGACACTTAGGATCTTTGTGGTGACCAAGGAGTCCAAGCTGATACACGAAGCTCGCGTATCAGAGGAGTACCAGCAGTACGGCGCCCTGTTCAGTGGAAAACTGTGAGATTTCAAACCGTTCTGTATTGAAAGGAAAGAGAAGAAGATCTCTGGGGGAGAAGCCCCCATATGTACAGGTGTGCCATCAGGGTGACCAGATAATCATACGATAATGGCGCCAGGATCCTGGTGGCCTGAGGGTGGGCTGACTGCCCTGAGGCTAAACCCATTAGCGCATTCAGCCCCGAAAGCCTCAGCCTGGTATGATATCCGACACGCCCTCTCAAACTGAAGGCATCACCACCACACAACTATAACTAACAGTTCATAAAACCTAGATCTTAGAGTACTACAGCACTCCTGAACCCCCTATTTGACTTCAACGAGTCCTAACAGCTGTAAGAACGAGCCAAACTTCGCCTTTGGCATGGCCTTGGTAAGGCCATCAGCTGGCATCTCGTCAGTACCAAGGAACTGCAGCGAGATATGCTTAGCCTGAATTTCCTGGCGAATGTAATGCTCTCGCACTCGAATGTGCTTCGTTCGGCGATGGAATTCGGTGTTCTGAGCCAGATGAATGGCTCCAGCACTGTCAGAGTGCAATAGGAGGGTGTCCAGGGTGTATCCAAGCTCGTTCATTAGCTCTCGTAGCCAGGCAGCCTCCTTCACGGCTTCACTGATGGCATAATACTCTGATTCAACAGTAGATTGTGCCACAACAGTCTGTAGCTTCGAGGACCACGAGATAGCGCCTCCAGCAAAGGTGAATAGGTAGCCAGAGGTTGATTTGGCACCATCCTTGATGCTGCCAGTGTAGCTAGCATCACAATAACTAAGTAGAAGGGATGGGACGATGCCAGTGACCTCGTCAGAGGTCATTTTGGCAAATTCAGGGCCTCCAAAACGAATGCCCAGGTCCTTCGTGTTCCAGAGGTATCGAAGGAGCCCCTGAGCCGCAGCAAGTTGTGCAGTTCTGGGGCGATGGAGGTATCGCGAAAGTACCCCCATCGAGTAGGAGATGTCAAGACGGGTGTAGCATGCAGGGAAATTCTCAGAGCCAATTAAGGATTGGTACTTGTGAGTTACCTCGGGCGAACCGCCATCCTCGGTGTCATCCTGGTCCATCTTCTCAACCGTTTGAGGCGAGATGGGTATGTTCACACGCCCAGTTCGAGCCTGATCGAAGGTTTCAGCAGTGCGTTGAATGTACGTGCTCTGTGACAGCCACAGAGTGCTTTTCGTACGATCCCTGACGATTTTAACGCCGAGAAAGTGCTGGGCAGCGCCCAAATCCTTCATTTCGAAGGCAACAGAAAGATCCTGCTTGAACAAATCAACCTTAGAGCGATCGGCACCCAGGATAAGGAAGTCATCCACGTAGCTAATCACAAAAATGCCACGCTTCTTGGAGTAGTAGACGGCGTTATCAGAGATCAGAGGCTCAAAGCCAAGTGTCTGAAGCACACCGCGAAGGCGCTTCTGCCACTGACGAGGGCTCTGCTTGAGGCCATACAGGGGCTTCTCGAGCTTGAGGATCATCCCTCGTTGCTAACTAATGGTGTTCTCTTCTGGATACATCTCAAAGAAGTCATCCAGGCCGTCAGGGGTCTCCATATAGATCTCCTCATCTAATTCTCCCATCAGGAAGGCCGAAACGGCGTCCATTTGGTCGATCTCCCAATCCAGAATGGCTGAGAGAGCCAACAACAGTCTCCAGGTGGTTGTGCGCGCGCCAGAAGCTTGAGTCTCGAAGTAATCGAGACCATGGCGCTGCATAAACCCACGAGCAGTGATCCGATCCTTGTGTCAAGCTGTTTCACCAGTAATCGGGTCCTTCTTGTGCTTATAAACGTGACGAGAGGTCAAAGGCTTGTGATTTCGAGGCATTTCTGACCTCCAGAGTGCCGAAAAGGTCTTGTTACGCAGTAACGCGCGTATCTCGAGATGAGTACCTTCTAACCATTGAGGTGCTTTAACTGACGCCATCGCCTCCCGATAGTTGGAAGGTTCATCCGTTTCAGGAAGCGCTTAATCAGGGTCAGCAGAAGGCCAATTAGCATAGGAAGCCTGAATTGTAGCATGTGGAGAGATCCCGGGAGTTGTGATCTCAGAAACGTAGTGGTTCTACGACCCGCGGGTGCGCCCTCCGGATAACACGTTGCCAGGATTGATCCCAGCTTGTGATTGCGGTACTGGAGTCGGCCTATGAGATAGATTCCGCTGAGGCGATTCCAATGATCTAATCGGCGTGACAATTGGGCCAATATCGGGCTCAGAATTGCTGAGTGTCGATTGAGGGTTGCCGCCGCCATCATCGGATGCGACCAGTGAGATGACCGGAGTGCCTAAAGTGATGACGGGCTTAGGGACATTTATCCAACCCCAATCTTCTTTATCTGACTCATCCGATATATGCTGAAGATCGTCAGCGCCCTCTGAAAAAGATGGCTTCTTCAGATTGTCTTCCTTATGGATAGTTCGCTCATAATCATTAAGTGTACCTTGGAAGTCTGGGAAGATGTGGATTGATTCCCCAGAAGCGATGTACCCATCTAGAATTTCAAGATGTGCACTAGTGATGACCGTCTGTGATTCAGGCAAGTAAACCTGATACTGATTAGAGCCCATTGAGCGAAGAATTCGCCCTTTTCTCGCATGAGGAGCTGTCTTGTTGCCCTGAACGCGGCGCTGGCGTGGCAGATGGACCACGGCAGCCTGCCCGATTGGCAGGAGATCCCTCAAATCAGGCTTGTTATCCTTGCCAGGAGTCAAATCGTCGAAGAAGACCTCATCTGGGGTCCTGTTATCCTTCTAGAGGAAGGAGGTGTAGCTCACATTGAGCCAATCACACACCGCAGGGCCAATAATCGGCCAGAGAGACTCTGGCAGCTTCATTTGCTCGATAACACTTTGAACAAACGAATGAATCACGCCGAGAGAGCGCTCTGCCATCCCATTTTGCTCAGGAGTGTATGGAGCGCTCAGTTCGAACTTGATGCCTTCAGATCGGCCCCATTTGACGAAATTGGCGTATTCCGTGCCGTTATCCAAGCGAAAACAGCGAGGGTAGCGGCCGTACTGGAGCTTCATCCGCTTGCAATAACAGATGCAGATGTTCGAAGCCTCGCCCTTTCGCGCGTGAGGATGATATTCACGTTTTCGTGACTTGCCATCGACTAGCATTGTAGCTCGTTTAGAACCATCGTATCCTTCAGCCGAATGGTGCGCGGTATCAGTGTGAACCACGTCAAGGGCCTGATCAGGGTGTTCCTGCTCGATTCAGGAGACTATTCGACGGAGATTCGTCTCCAGACAGTTCAAGCAGGTGAATTCCTTTGCCAATTCGAGCGTATTTGGCGGTAGATCGATGCCTTTGACAATTTTGGCCGTTTTGACGATATCGCCAATCAATCGGTGGCCCAACTTCGTGTGCCAGAGGTGAAGGAGCCTCATAGCCTCCCTTTTGGCCCTCAATTGGGCACTAGGATCACTTTCTTCCTCTCCTTCAGCTGAGAACAGGTTGACAAATGCCTGTGGAGCGTGTATGATGTCGTAAGACTCCTTCTGTAGCGGTGAAGTGATTACCTTCACATACATGCCGCTGTGAAGGGATGTCACCCAGGTGCCAGCAGAGTCAAATAGATCCCGAATTATCAAATACCAACACTGACGATATAACTGATCGCCAGAGAGGAGGTTGATCTGGAAGGAGGGCACGTAGAGCACTTCAGTGATCAATCGAGTAACTCTTCTGCCTTCTGAAGTGACGAAATCGATCTCCACGTCGCCAACACCAAGTGGTTGAACAGGGCCACCACCTGTAGCGATTGGAAGAAGGTCAGGGTCTATTCGGAGACGAATGAACCACTTCTTGTGGTTGCAAATAGGAACCGTGGATCCAGAATTGAATAGCCATCGATCAGAGGCGGCAGAGATGGCGTGAGCGTGAGCTTCAGGTTGAAAGGGGACACTGAGGTCAATATCCACCTGATTGGCGCCGCAAGGAACGTTAAAATATGCTTCCTGTACCGTGACGTCGCTCGTAGTTCTCGCAGGAGCGACACCATGGTCTCCTGCAGCCGCAGAAGTCTCACGGCACCAGTGAATAGCGGGAATAGTACCGCCAGCACCAGATGATCCTCTAGAAGAGCCGTTCGCAGCTCCCTTTGAAGCAGCTTGCAACACCTGCTTCAAGATGCGTTGGTTGCAGCCATCGTGCCCTTTCTTCTTGTTGAGCTCTCCACACTCAAAGCACCACACAACTGTAGTGTTTGAGGCGCTAGGATCCTTCTGATCAGGTCCCCGAGCGCCTCCGGAGCCTCCTTTGCCCCTGTTCTTCTTTCGCTGCTTGTTGTCTTTGTTGGCGCCAGTAGGAGTGGCAGGAGGGGCAGGAGATCGG